CACAACATTGTGATGGTCCGATCCTATTATCTCAAGGTAAGTTTTATTTTATGTAGTTACTGTATCTCCTTTATTTAAAACGCAATAATACAATATGTACTTTCAATAAAGCAAATAAATATCCTCACCTTCTTGAGGTTATCTTGAGATGATTTCGGGGCTTTTAGTGTCCCCGCGGCCCGGTCCTCGACCAGGCCTCCACCCCCAGGAAGCAGCCCGTGACAGCTGACTAACACCCAGGTACCTATTTTACTGCTAGGTAACAGGGGCATAGGGTATGAATGAGCTAGTTGATGAGATAGCAAAGAGAGCCACGAAAAAAAAACTTTTGTCGATGTTGTATGTCAGATAACTTTGAAACAAATAAAAACAAGAATCAAGATGATCCAAGAGGATGAAGAAAAGGTTAAGAGAATGGCAATGGTGGACTGTAGTAACACAATTAAGAAATATGCAATAATAAATACAAATTCGTCCTTCACTTATGATAGAGGAAAGTCTATTTGGGAGGATTCACTTTAAATGAGATTAAGATTAGGATACAAATATATCTGGCAATACGGTGTTGATGTCAGTGAAAAAGATATCTAAATTATGTAGCATGCCGCACGCCCACACCTTAGATCATTATGTATTACAGCGTTAACGTATTGATAACTATAGAAATAAGGAAATAAGTAGTGTGCCACATCAAATTGTTTGGATATGTGATAATGGTATGATAGACAGAATACTTAGGAGCTACAAGAATTTTGCCCCAAGAGTATAACACTTATATGCTGCGCTTACTATATTAATCTGCAATGTTAAATGGGAGTCTTGTATTATGATTTATGGATCTGTGCTCACTGAATTTATTCGCTCCTTGAGGGACTTGAAGTAGAAGGGGGGGAGTAATAGCCTAAGTTACTCTATCCCTTTGAGATGTATTTTTTTATTGTCTCAGTAAACACACTTCAACTTGAACATGAAATTTTCAATGGAGCTCGAAGTCTAAAATCGTTTGTGTACATGTGTCTTTACTTGACAAGTAACATCAAATATGGCTAGGTGTACTTTCTGAAATATTCCACTAAGGAAATTCATATTCCAATTCTGAAGTTGGAAAGCGTAGCATAGGCTCCTTGCACAATGTCCTGTATATGGTCTTTTAGTGAAAGTTCACTATCCAGTACCTCTAGATCTCTTTGTTAGAGTTTTTTAACGCCTTTTTACATAATTTATAAGTTGTGTGTGAGTGTGGATTTAGAAGCTTGAATGGTTATCAAGCAGCATTTAACAATATTCACTCATTGATCCCTCAAAGAGTCAGGTCTGCAGCTAGGGTCCCCCAAGCTGCATGTGCCAATCGTGAATTGATTAATGGTTTTATAACAAATGTAAGTTCAGTACCTACAATATAATCATTGTATTCGGTTCCACTGGAATGTTTTATAAATAAATTATTGTTAATAATAATAATAATAATAATAATAATAATAATAATAATAATAATAATAATAATAATAATAATAATAATAATAATAATATTATTATTATTATTAATTATTTTTATTGTTAATTGAAGCTTGGGGACCATTCATGTTTCTACACAAATCATGAAGCATTTAATAATAATGACACAAATAATGAAAGAAGTATATTGTAAATATTAAGATTAAATGTATTTAGTTTATATATATATATATATATATATATATATATATATATATATATATATATATATATATATATATATATATATATATATATATATATATATATATATATATATATATATATATATATATATATATATATCAATGCAACTGGGGTACGTGGTACCTTAACCACTTGACCATCAGTGACCATACAAAAGTCGATGGTAGCCGAGGCTATTTCCCCATCGTCCCGACGGCACTTTGATGGTAATCTTGGGCATAGTTGATTTATTTACACTAGACATTTGTAGTAGGTGAGGCCGCTTTATATATATATATATATATATATATATATATATATATATATATATTTATATATATATATATATATATATATATATATATGTCGTACCTAGTAGCCAGAACTCACTTCTCAGCCTACTATTCAAGGCCCGATTTGCCTAATAAGCCAAGTTTTCCTGAATTAATATATTTAATATAATTTTTTTCTTATGAAATGATAAAGCAACCCTTTTCTCTATGTATGAGGTCAATTTTTTTTTATTGCAGTTAAAATTAACGTAGATATATGACCGAACCTAACCAACCCTACCAAACCTAACCTAACCTATATTTATAGGTAAGGTTAGGTTAGGTAGCCAAAAAAAGCTAGGTTAGGTTAGGTTAGGTAGGTTAGGTAGACGAAAAAACATTAATTCATGAAAACTTGGCTTATTAGGCAAATCGGGCCTTGAATAGTAGGCTGAGAAGTGCGTTCTGGCTATTAGGTACGACATATATATATATATATATATATGTCGTACCTAGTAGCCAGAACGCACTTCTCAGCCTACTATGCAAGGCCTGATTTGCCTAATAAGCCAAGTTTTCATGAATTAATGTTTTTTCGACTACCTAACCTACCTAACCTAACCTAACCTAACTTTTTCGGCTACCTAACCGAACCTAACCTATAAAGATAGGTTAGGTAGGGTTGGTTAGGTTCGGTCATATATCTACGTTAATTTTAACTACAATTAAAAAAAATTGACCTCATACATAATGAAATGGGTAGCTTTATCCTTTCATAAGAAAAAAATAGAGAAAATATATTAATTCAGGAAAACTTGGCTTATTAGGCAAATCGGGCCTTGCATAGTAGGCTGAGAAGGGCGTTCTGGCTACTAGGTACGACATATATATATATATATATATATATATATATATATATATATATATATATATATATATATATATATATATATATATATATATATATATACACTGACTGTTCCAAAAAATTAGAAGTCGTCTGACTCTGACACGCCAAGGTGCATGGAGAAATGTGTTCGAATCCTTCAGGAGTACTTTACTCCTGAAGGATTCGAACACATTTTTCCATGTGTTCTGTATTCTGGGGCATGTTAGCTTGGGGACCATACAACCTTGACGCACAAATAATATTCGCGTGTCGCGTAACTCCTGCATGATGAAGTGATTTGAAGATATATCTGATCAGCTCTCTGTGACTGATATATATCAATCACAGAGAGCTGTTGGGAATTGGGTTAAAGGTCAGACGACTTTCAATTATTTTGTAGTCAGTGTAGCCTAGCGGAATAGTACTGGACACGTCAGTAGATTTAACAATAATATGTATGTCATCTGAGTGAAGGTTATAAGGCAGGTTTTCCTTTTATTAGTACTGTAATTATGCAACAATGTTTATATTTTTTGAATAATTATTTTCTTTTAACATTTATTTGTTTTATTTTCTAAACAATTATGCGCTCAACGTGTTTTCAATTGTATTAGATTTTAATTTTCAAATAATATCTATTAATTATTGTGTTTTTGAGCCATATTGTTGTCATAGTTTTTATATTGTTCTGGTTGTCTTTCCAATTATGATCTTCTAACAGAAAATGCTTCTCCATATAGGTATTAAAGTGCATTTTCTGCTGTTATAACAATGATGATGCTTATTTAAGCTAAATGTTCTTTGCTGTTCTCAGACTCTTCAAATACTTTAAAAAGATTTTACGTGTGTTATTAACCATTCATTTGCTTTATGAGAAATATAAGTTAGGTTTGGTTGTCAGCTTTAGTTTAGATCAGTTTATCCCGTAAATGCTAATGGAAAAGGTCAGAGGAACAAAATGGGCTTCAGAACTGAGCCACTAATATTCGTTTAGCTAACATCATTGAAACGCTAATTGCAGTTTGTCAACATGCACATCCACAGTATTCATAGTTCTGGTTAATTTAACCAATTAAACTAAATGTTAGTCACATACTTGGTTAATGAACTGAACCCCAGTGTTCTATAGAATAAGCTATTTAAATTTACTGTGTATTAGTTAAAATTTATATTTGCTCAAATTTGTAATAAAGTTTAGAAGTAATCTAATATCATTAACGTACTAACGTTACAGTACATGGTCATGAGATTAGCAAGAAGATAATTTCAGGCAATGTATGCTTACAGTGTATTTCACTGTCTGATTGTAACATATTTCTTTTGACTTTAGTTTCTTGTGTAGTTACAGCAAAGACTTGATATTAAATTATTCATTAAATATTCCTATATTATAGGCGCAAAATAAACAGCATGGTTATACAATCACAGTTATATTTTCTCTTCTGCCTTATATCAATATATCAGTTGATCAACTTCGATAAGCGAAAATACAGAATCAGAAACTTGCAACTTAAACCCATCATAGCTATCAAACCCAAAAATATACTATCAAACATAACATCATACTATCAAACTAAAACCTCATAGCTATAAAAAAATTACACAAACTTAAATCTCATGGCCATAAAGACATCATCCTATTAAACAAACTCCTCATAAGTATAGAAAACCTTATATTAAACAAAAAACCTCATAATTATCAAACAAGATGATTAAGAACCCACAAACTAAAATATATAAAATATTTCACATTAATTCACACATAATAACACTTAATGCTAAAAAATGTCTGAAACTATACGTTTATAAAACGTATGGGTAATGAGATTTTAACCCTCCTGTTAATTTTTATATTTATTAAAAATTGCTTTATTGTAAGCAGCATTTACAATATATTTGCAGATCTGCAACATCAATATTTCGCAGATTGTCTTAAAGTAAACGGAAAATTCCTCGCACTTTTTTAAGTGCGTTCATGATTTTATTATATTATACCTCTAAGATATATATATATATATATATATATATATATATATATATATATATATATATATATATATATATATATATATATATATATATATATATATATATATATATATATATATATATATATATATATATATATATATATATATATATATATATATATATATATATATATATATATATATATATATATATATATATATATATACAACTGGGGTACGTGGTACCTTAACTACTTGACCATCAGTGACCGTACAAAAGTCGATGGTAGCCGAAGCTATTTCCCCATCGCCCCGACGGCACTTTGATGGTAATCTTGGGCATAGTTGATTTATTTACCCTAGACATTTGTAGTAGGCGAGGCCGCCGCATTATTATATATATTATACTACTGCAAAAGCAGAGGAACAATACCAAGAGGTCACGGGTCATAACAATGGGCTTTAAGTACGCACAAAAATATTATAAACATTCATGCATATTTGGGGAAAATATGCAGTTTTTTGTTACACTAACTTACCAATGACCGTAGATTGGGTGAGTATATCTTTATATTGTATATTATTTAATAAAGAAGAAAATAAAGTATAGCTTGAGGATGGGTAGCCTGAGGAAGGCAGGAGAAGGTCAAGGTTCAGCACCTTCCTTCAAGCGTCCATAGTTTGGGATATTTACTTCTTGGGCGCTGGCCTGCTTGTTCTCGGCGGCAATCTGCAGGTAAAAGGAAGGTAATTAAATTTTTCAAGTGAACAGGAAAAAAATTATTATGCTCGCACCCCAATGATTTCAAATACACATTTTCAAAGGAATGCGATTCTGTGCTCCCCTGAATGTCATTATGCTATTGAAAAGTTTTACACGTGTTATTAAATCCTTTCTCACAAATTTGCCAATAAACAACTGTCAAGTAAAATATAAAGTTTATGCAGAAATTTGTTTCATAACAATGATTTTCGTATTGACAGCCAATTATATTTACTGTCAACATGTCAAATTTCTTCATATAGTTGCTATGGGGCCTCGTAGCCTGGTGGATAGCGCGCAGGACTCGTAATTCTGTGGCGCGGGTTCGATTCCCGCACGAGGCAGAAACAAATGGGCAAAGTTTCTTTCACCCTAAATGCCCCTGTTACCTAGCAGTAAATAGGTACCTGGGAGTTAGTCAGCTGTCACGGGCTGCTTCCTGGGGGTGGAGGCCTGGTCGAGGACCGGGCCGCGGGGACACTAAAGCCCCGAAATCATCTCAAGATAACCTCAAGATAACAATATAATTTTTCATATTTTTACTTTACTTTCGAAGTAAGACTTACTATGCGAGCGTAAGCAGTGATGACGAGGACGTTGTAGGTGGCGACGACCAAACTGAGAACCAGGCCGACCCATAACTCCAGATAATATCCTTGTGATCCGTTAAAGAATTCATTTACGACAACAGTGGTTGAGGCTGTGACCATGGTGGCCACCCGCACCCACAACCACCCTCCTATTATTTCTTGTGACTTCTGTATCGTGTCATACAGAAAGTTTTAGGATAAAAGTACAAATGTAATTTTTGTACCTAACTAATGCTATACTAGATATACAAATGAATTACATACTTTAATTGTATAATACAAATTTTTCAATTATAACATCAAAAACTGGATAAGCCATCAGGCCTAAAACAATCTTGTAATACTAAGATTTGATTATTGTTGGTAATTTTATCTGACACTGATGAACGCCATATAGAACACTTACAATCCGGATACCATGGATAAGTATGCAGGTTAGGAAGAAATTGACCAGGATTAAGGATAACGCCACCATCAACACGACTTCCATATAAATAGCTGGAAACCAAGAAAAGTCAATACAGAGGGACACAGTGACAGTTAAAAGGGGTCTGCTTAACTCTAGTTTTCCAGCAGGCACCTGGCATGGAATAATATATTGACATTTAATATTAGTATAAACTTTCAGATACATAAAATATCTGCAATAGGGCATTTTCATTATTATAATTTAAATATCCTGTAATAGACATATCGTCATACTACACCAATTGAAAAGCCTTTCTCGACACCACATTTACATGTTTTAAAAATTATGATAATTATTGCATGAAACTTACATTTAAATAATGAAAGTAGGACAACTGGCACAACAGCTGCAGCTAGAATGATCTGTAAAGAAAGGAACGACGATGAAAGTAAATCATCAAACATTGTGTCGAACACAATCCATAATATTGTGTCGCTTAAGTATCCTCATACTTAAATCCAATATCCCCAATACTACCTCCGATATTATACAGTTAGTACCCAACCAGTACTGCCACTCAGATTGATTGATGAAGATTAAGCCACCCAAGAGGTGGCACGGGCATGAATAGCCCGTAAAACTGCCTCTCGTACTTTAAAGCCAGTATTCCACCAAAATTGTCTCCCATACTGTCAAATATTTTTGAGCTGTTTTAATATATGAAACAGATGAACTTCTCTCAACCTCCCGACATAATTGTCCAAACTTCCGGATAAAAATATAAATTCCTTCGGCATTAAAGTTGTGGTTATTTATCACCAATATCGAAAAACATAAATATTATTAGATCATCATTATTGTCATATACATGAATCAGTCAGAGTTTAACAACCTGTCCTCTTACACAGATACATTGCGCTTTAACGTATCCGTTAAAAATGCAATCAGTTAAAAATGCGGCGTACCAGTAAAAATAAAGCCCCGTTATATATACGTTTTTATATGGATCAACGTTGGTAGATTTGGTGTGTTCGTACGTTTAGGCAAAGCCATTATTTTTTACGGAGTGTTAAATTGAGAGAACGGGGTGAATCAATGGCTGGAAATATAGAATGATTGAGATTATTATAGAGCCTAGTGCCTGTTGTGAAGACTGATGAAGGCGGATTCTTGAGTTATCAAACAGGTCCCTTAAAAGTTTCATTAGACGAGAACTCTTGGATGAATTTGAAGAAATCAGAACAGTGCAAACTGGAACTAGCAGATTCATTGTTTATCACAATGAAATGTATGTGAGAAGTAAAACATGTGAATGGGGCAAGTAACAAAGTCAACAGACTAACAGACTGTCACAGCTCGAATAAAACTTGGCTACAAGTATTTCGGCAGTTCGGCTTGTATAGGGATCTAGATGAAGTAAATTGTAAAGTGTGTGGACATGGATAGGGACACACACTCGAAGACTATATCTTGGATTGTAGAAAAATTGAGCCATTTAGAGATAAATCTAAACTCACGTTGTATGATATGGCAACCTATCTTATTAATAAGGATCAAATACCTGAAATCCTTGCACTGTATCCATATTTCGCTCCCAGTAAATAAACGACATATGAGATTAAGAAACAAGTAGTGTATTGTGAAGACTAATATCAACAAACAGCAGCTCCCCTGTAACTAATATCTCCATTGGTCAAACAATTATGTATTAGCGATAAGACCTACCATCAATGTATAATGACTTACTGTAAATATATAGCTCTTAAAGTAGAACATTCTCTGTAACTAGCTGACATTGTAATTATAAGGTGTGAAAGATAGATGTAATTATTAATATAATTATCACCGTTAAGGTCTGATAAAGACCTTTTGTGCCCTCTGTAATCCCTTTTGCGCTACCGCTCACAGGATGAGTATGGGGTGCACAATAAACTAGCCGCCTCCGGCAGCAACAATCAAAATTATTGAAGACAGCAGTACTCACCAACTCTATGGAGGCATGGATGAAGGTCAAGGTCCGGAGGGAACAGCAACATTTGCATTTGGAAAATATTTGAATTATCTTATCCATCGTGCAGGTATAGGGCAGCTGCTGCACCACAACAACACCTGCACACATAAATAATATGTATTACTTGCATGAAATCTCATCTGTGTACAGCTATGGTATCCGCGTGAACCATCGCTGATGTGTAAAGCTCATGACAAGTGTGAACCACAACTGGTATATAAAGCTCACGACCCGCCTGAAAACAGGAGAGACAACATACACAGCCCCTCTCCTGTGCCAGGTAAGTCCACTACGGGCTCACCATAGCCCGTGCTACATGGAACTTTTGTTCTGAGTAGCTGAATCTAAAACAACAACAACAACAGCCTGAAAACATGTTTGAAATGTAGTACTTCTACTGCCTTATATTTTGGAGGAGAATTTATATAATCTCGGGAATACAAAATCCAAGCTGATTAGGATGGAACACTGTAGCCGTTTCAATGCGGATGGGACTGGCATTTGGCCTTGCAAGGAGTCGGCGAAGGCTATTACCGCCGGCAATGGGTCTGATCTCTTCATACTTCTTTTTTCAGAGCAAGAAGCGCTACACCAAAATAGTTTTGGATAAACAGTGGTATTAGGTGAAAGGAAACGTCCCAATCATTTCTGTTCCGTCCAGGAATCGAACCTGGGATCCCCTGTTGTGAGTAAAGAACGAAGTCAGCTATTTTAGGTCTTGTACCCAGTAACCTCGTAAGGAGTCGGGAGAGAAGGAAGCGATCGCTTTATTGACCTTTGTTATTTGAAGAACTAGTGGTACTTGTTTGAGAACGGGAGTTGGGGTGTGGGGGTCCATGCTGCCCTGAGAGTGCGTGTTTGACTCAGTGCTCGAGGCTGTGGTTATATAATGTGTTGAAGTATAAGTCTTTCATTTCCTTATGAGGCGAATACGGTAGTATTAGTAAGAATTCCTAATTAGGATGGAAGATACCAGAATATTCCATGAAGGGCATATTGTATTGACACATCTATTTTAATAAAATTGGCAGATAAAATAATCAGACACTCCGAACAACAAACGCATTCCATAAACAAACGTTATGAAAATTGTGAACACTGCTAGAACTTTTTCATCTCTGACTGACGAGCATTAAATACACTCCACATACTTTGTATTTCTCTACATCCAGCCAATTTGTACAGGATTAACAAAATAGGATTTTTTTTTAGTTGACGCTATCTCAAAGCGCAATACCGCGCATATTCTTCCACGTCGCTTCCTCAAGTATTCTTGCAGGTCGTACGGAAGCTTCTTTATTCAATTGTTATAAAATAATTATTGTTTAGGCGTATAATTGTTGTTATAACAACAGTACAATAACAGATTAATATCACTTACAATTTTATTCACGTCAACTTCTTTCATTTAAGGCTTGTAAATAGTTATACCGCTGGCAGCGAGAGTGCGGGTACCCACACCTTACTTACAGGGCTTGCGGTTACTGTGGCAGCAGGTGCTGGAGGTGCGAGTTGTCGTGATACACAGACCAGGTACACTGCCAGCCTAGCTTCCTCACTCCTCACTTGGGGCATAGCTACGACCTTCATCCTCGGGTCCAGCATGTCGCTAGATCCTTGGATTCTTTCAGTCAGGTTATGCAATTATCCACATAATCATTTATACTGATCCGTTGAAAATAGGGGTTAATGTATTCAGATTTTTTTATTGGCAAGTGATCACTTAGAACTTTATTTTGTCAAGAAAATTGTTTAAAAAATCCCCTTAATGTTTATTTTATTTACATTTTAACTTAATCCTAACAAAATGGGATCAAAATACATACTAGCTGGCACCTTATTAATAATGCCATTGAACACTACCCTTTAAAAAATGTTTTTTTCTTTATTTTTTTCTTTCCCTACTGCTTATTTTCTCGTTACATTTATCTTATAGTGGATTTTGAGTACCAAGCCTCAGAAACTCCGGTAATAGTGAGCAATTCCAATTTCTTTCTTTATTATGCACCCCATACCCATCCCGTGGGCGGTGGTGTAAAGGATTACAGAGGCACATAATCGGTTCAGGAACTGAACCCTCTAGTTCTTTTAGCTAAGCAAATGACAACCTTTTGACGCTAGTTACAAAATTATTAATGTTATATATACATGTACACATTCTCATACATATATATATATATATATATATATATATATATATATATATATATATATATATATATATATATATATATATATATATATATATATATATAAGTTTGTATATAAACAAATATATAAATATTTGTATATAAATATAAAAAGTTTGTGAGGGTACCTCCAATGTGGGGACCTCTGGTAAAAAGCCAATGTGGGGACCCATAGCCTCGGAGAAGAAAATAAAAAGTATTCAGAGGAGACCTTGTGGTTTCTCACTGAACACTAATATTATCTTCTCCTACCACCCCCATTCTTTTCTATATATATATATGTATGTATGTATATATATTTATTTTGTATATATATATATATATATATATATATATATATATATATATATATATATATATATATATACATACATATACATATTTAATCACCCACACAAATACACACATCAATAATCTTTTGTCACAAGTGATTCAACAAGTGGCTCACAACAGTCACTATACAAGGCACTTTACATCTATGGTGAGTCACACAGTTACTAGTCTTGCTGCACACCCACCCAACTGGGCGGCAGCTTTACAGTCATGTGCATGCATTACCTACAGTAAGCAAATTTTGGATATTTCGCTAAGATTTCGGGCAGCACATCATTATGAATGAAGTACTTACACATTTCTTGGACACTATTGATGGTGTTATCTCTAAATTCCGCGATTTTTTCACATTCCATTATATAATGACGTAAAGTATGGGAATAGTTCTGCTGACAGAGTTTACATTTAGTCAAATCTACATCAGCAGATGTTACAAATTCCGAGGTACTTGTAGCCGAGCCTAAGCCTAGCAGTGGTAACATCTAGAAGTCTGCTAACCTTACTGGACGACCCATAGACGTGCGGTTCTTCCTGCATAATAGAATGATGATAGATGGAGTAACTGGTGTGAATTTCACTTTGCCTCAAGTCTCCGAAATTTAGTTGATGTTCCTGGGATATTGCTGCCCTCAGGCTGCTCAAAGGCAGTCCAAGTTGGTAATCAATTCCCTCTTTACGAGCAAAATTCTTGGCCAACTCATCAGTTCTATCATGTATTCGGAGACCAATATGAGAAGAAATCCACAGGAGACAAACTCTGACTCCATCATTGATTATTTCATTATATCTGTGTCTAGCTTCAGAGATAAGCACGTCACAGTTATGCCTTGGGGAGCTGAAGGCAGTCAAGGATGACAAGGAGTCACTTACATTTAGCGTGTCAACTTTGGATTCATATACGCGCTCTAGTGCAAGGCATATGGCAACCAATTCTGTTTGAAGAGTGGAGGCCCAGTTACTTTGACGCGCTCCACACTCATGGGAGAAGGAACCATCTCTCCCTGTCACAACAACTGCAGGACATATGAGACAATCTTATACAATATTGGAAAGAGTAATAATCGGTAAAGAAAGTACAAAAATTCCGTTGTTTATTGATGTCGTGTCTCCACTTGTGTCAGTACACACACCTCTTTTCAAGAGCCATGTGGCCACACCTGGCTTGGCGCCTGGCTCCGGATACTTACCGTATATCGTCACAGAAACCCAGCGCGTAATTAGCGGCTTTATATAAACCACTAAATGAACTCTCAATTTACAGGCCAGTGAAAAATAGCCAATATAATAATAATAATAATAATAATAATAATAATAATAATAATAATAATAATAATAATAATAATAATAATATTACTACTACTACTAATAATAATAATATTACTACTAATAATAATAATATCACTTCTAATAATAAAAATAATCTAGTAATTATATAATAATCTTGTGTGATGATAATCTGATGCTCTATCTTGTGTGATAGTGACTGTAATCAGACCTAATTAAATTACTCAGATTAGACAAAATTGAAAATAAATTTTGTCAGTAATGGTGTTAATAATGGTAATTAGAGATGGCAGCTTCAACGCGCCACAAACTTGCCTTCACACATATTTATCACCCTAAATGCCTTTGACATTTGGACATGTCGGTACAGCGGCAACCTCGCGTCTGGCAGGTCGGCGTTTGATTTCCCCGTTATTCACGTGTTGGCATTCATGATGACACAGACAAGGCTGTTAAAACTGCATGTCTTAAGCCTGAAATTGTTGGATATGGGCATTCCAATCTCTGCTGTACAAGTCACAATATTTCAGGAAATTAGAGTAGACAGAAGAGCAGTTATACTCAAAGGCCAGAAAGCACGAGTAAGTATTTATTTATTTATTTATTTATATACAAGAAAGTACACTGGGTTTGTGAGGATACATAGCATGTTATTTACAATCTTGTAAAGCCACTAGTACGCGCAGCGTTTCGGGCAGGTCCTTAATCTAACAGATAATTTTAAGTAAGTAAATTCTAGCAGAATTAATAAAATGATAACAGATACATTGGAAGAAAAAAATGAGATGAGAGAGATTAGTAGGTATATTAAAGCACACTGGTAGCTCTGATTGATTACATTGACAGCTTGATTGGTAATTTAAACAAAGATTAATAGGAACCATATAGCAAATTGATAGCTCATATAAGAAGACAGCAATGATCACAATGGTAAAGTTGTTCGGATTGGGTACATAAAGATTGGGAGATTGGGTAGCACTAGATACAGTGCAATCTTAAAGCAACAAGGTAAGAAACTATGAAGATGAAATTAGGTACTTTTTACTTTTGTTTTTGAATGACGCAAAAGTTGGACAGCTTTTCAATTTATTAGGGAGTGAGTTCCGTAGACTGGGTCTCTTTATTTGCATAGAGTGTTTACACAGATTAAGTTTGACTCTAGGGATATCAAAGAATATTTATTTCTGGTGTGGTGATAATGGGTCCTATTACATCTGTCCAGGGAGAGTTTCAGAGCAGGATTTGCATTTAAGAACAGGGTTTTGTAAATGTAGTTGACACAAGAGAATGTGTGGAGTGAGATTATGTTTAGCATATTTAGGGAGTTAAGCAAGGGGGCTGAGTGTTGTCTGAAAGCAGAATTTGTTATTATTCTGATAGCAGATTTTTGCTGGGTGATGATGGATTTGAGGTGGTTTGTAGTGGATGAACCCCATGCACAGATACCATAATTAAGATAGGGATAGATTAGTGCATAATATAGAGGGATGAGAGCAGAGTTAGGTACATAATATCTGATTTTGGAGAGTATACCAACTATTTTAGAGACTTTCTTAGTTATGTGTTGTATGTGGGTGCTGAAGTTGAATCTCTTGTCTAGGAATAGGCCAAGAAACTTTTCATCATTTTTATTACTGACGTTTACATTGTCTATCTGAAGCTGAATTGCATTTGTAGATTTGCTTCCAAATAAGATGTAGTAGATCTTTTCTATGTTAAGTGTTAGTTTGTTGGTTGACATCCATAAGTGGACTTCTTTTGGTTCATTATTAACAACATTATTTAGTGTATGTGGGGTTGGGGTTAGAGTAGATGAGGGTAGTATCATCAGCAAACAATATAGATTTCAGAATGCTAGAGATATTAGGCAGATCATTGATATATATAAGAAATAGGAGAGGTCCCAAGATGCTGCCCTGTGACACTCCAATGGTTATTAGTAGAGTGGGAGAGGTTATATCATTGATGGCTACACATTGGTGTCTGTTACTAAGATAGGATTGGATATAGTCCAGTGCATGGCCTCGGATTCCATAGTGATGGAGTTTACGTAAGAGGTAGTTGTGATTAATAGTATCAAAGGCCTTTCTCTGGTCAATGAAGAGTCCAATCGGAAACTCATTTTTGTCAAAGGCTGAGTAAATTATCTCAAGGAGACTAATAACTGCATCGTTGGTACTCTTTTTGGGAGCGGAAGCCAAACTGACAGGGGCTAAGTATGTCGAATTTTACGAGGTACGAGTAGAGCTGTTTGTAGATAATTTTTTCAAATATTTTTGATAGTATGGGTATGTTTGATATTGGTCTATAATTATTTATGTCTGCCGGATTATATCCTTTATAAACTGCCGTTACTCTTGCTTTTTTTAAGGATATCAGGGAAGGTATGACACTCTAGGGATTTATTGAACAGCAATGCTATGGGTGGTGCAAGGGCATGGGAGGCATGCCCTTGCATGCCTCCCATGAGTTAGTAATAAAAAAGGCACCGTTCCTTCCTTTCGCCCTCCTATTCCAACCTCTGTGGTCTAAAATAGACCACAGAGGTTGTAAGGACAAATTTATGCAGTAGTATTTTTAGCTCATTGCCAGCTTTATTGAATTTAAGTAACACCGTTGTAGAAAAGAGAAAAAAAGTGTAACAGTACTTGATAAAGAACAAATGTCAACTTAAATGTTGCTAGATCAACAGGGGTAGGTTATAAGGTTGATGGACTGGTAGCAGTATAAACACGGAAGAAAATGATACTGAAGGACATACTGAATGAATTTAATGAGAGACGCTAGGAGATCGAGATTCTGCGCAGTATTACAAATGAACAAATGAAGGTAAAACTTGTAATTGTGCAGTAATACAGAATAGTAGCTAATTTAGTTAGTTAGTTTAGTTCATTTATTATGCACCCCATACCCATCTTGTGGGCGGTAGTGGAAAGGGTTACAGAGGCACATAAGGGGCTCAGGGACTGAACCCCACGAATAGTAGCGATATGTAAAACATGATTATACATTGATATAGTAGAGAAGCGCTATGTGAACTACCTGTCCTCCTACAAAGAACATCGCTTTTCGATCTTATGCGTTACATAAGGCCAAAAATTGGCGTACTAAAAAAATAGAAGTGGCTAGCGAAAGTTACGTATTGTCCCGTTTTCTATTTTGGGTCCTCTGGTAGGTTAGGAGAGGACACTTTAAATTGACCGTTCTGTGGACGTTGGGAAACCTTAGGAGGACGAGCTGATGTGAAACATTATTGAATAGGAATAAAATACAGCGGCGTTATATGAAACGTGTACAGTGAAACAATACAACAGTGATATGTGAGACGTGATTGTTGTGATACAATAGAGAAGCGACATGTAGACTGTGAACAGTGAACTGTGCGAGTGAACAGTATACATTACAGAAGTGATATTGGGAATATGGATGGTTAGATGGGCGAAAATAGATAAACAGCGACACTGTTGGTGAATATTATTACAGTCTGCCTTTACACTGTCTGTCCATTAAACAACAAACATTGCAAAGTCTAGTTACCAGGATAAACACAGTCATTATATCTTCGAATTCAATATATTACATTATAAAAGATTTAATAAAACTATTATGTATGAAAACTTTGAACATGAATGATTTGTTTACATCTGAAGATTATGTAGAATTTTCTTCAATTAGATAATAATTAGAGTGCTAATGGAAGTAAGAATTAAATGCTTCAATAGCCATGAAAAGTGTCGTAAGTTGTAAAGTATGTTCGTTGGCAGGATAAGCTGGCCCTTCGGTAAATTAAAATGAATGTAAGCGTCATTTTCACTGGAGTAAACAAGACGAAGCCTAGTCTTCAATTTCCTGGAGTTGTTGTTTGTTGTTAAAGATTCGCTACCCGGAACAAAGTTCCAAGTAGCACGGGCTATGGTGAGCCCGCATGTTTCCTGGAGGCTGGTTTAGGTGCTGGCGGTGACCTCCTCTAAGTGTACTTTATCCTCCTCCTCGGCCTCACTCATCTGTAATCAAAATATTTAGTCTGATTCTTTGCTATTGCTAGATCCATTTTAATATATCATTTTAACTATGGATTATCACCTTTCATATCCATGTTTCACAAATTAAAGGATTGGAATTAATGTTAGATATAAGAGAATAGAAAGCTTTGGACCGACATCAGCTGACGACAACGTAAAAACTGCTTCACACAATCTTAAACTTCATATTTCAACTCCAAACATGCATTTTTCATTTCAATTATGTTATAATCAAATTTTTTCTACCACTCACATTAAACTAACCATTGTCAAATCTGAGCATTTTATTAAAAAAAACATCAATCCAAAAGACAACAATAATAATATAAGGTTCCATAGCGCTATTGAATACTTTTGTTAAAGTTATCAGGGGAGAGCAAGACCGCGTCCCCTAACTTAATTACATCCACTAAACATTGTCAGAAGCCGTTTGTTCCCGTACCCACCTGTGTAAAGAAAAGATAAGTGTACGGTACAAGAGTAAGGCACGACCTCGCAACTTACAGTGAGAACGTAAGAACGGACGACCAACATGGTGTAGCAGAGTATGACTGTGGTGACGATGCTGATGACGAGGAGGAGCCACGAGTGAAATACAATGGAGTCGAGGGCGAGGATTATGAAGTCCATGATCACAACCACACCCCTCATCCACAACCAACCCACCACCAGATGGCGCCGACTCTATTCCACGGTAAACAATACTTATATTACTCACACAATAACAACAATAATGACGTCAACGATATAACTAGTAACTAACTAGGGCAACAATTTATCAGAAACCTCTAGATAAATATCCTCATTATCCTATCCCATTACTGGGAATTAGAAAACAAATTGTGATAATTTTACCCTTCCTGCTTGTTTCTTCCTCTGTTTTATCTACCTGCACACCTTCCACACACATTTTATGCAGAACTTTCTTGAATACGGAGAGTGTTTGCATTCTTCGACTACATATAACAATGTGTAAATATATAATCATCTCATATATATACCCATATATTGTGCATTAATTGGCTGTTGATTGCACAACTATATTCTACCCACTTCAAGACGGGGCAGTTGAAGAGGAGGTGCCGACGTTGACGAAGAGGCCCCTCTGTGAGAGTGTGTGTGACTCCTGTCTAATCTGCCCAGTTGAAGGAGTGGTTGGAGGTCGTGAAAGAAGAGTTGCTGAGGATCTCTAGATTTATTACCCTTATTTTCATTTCCTGTGTTGACTGTGATTGTATGTGTGATCATGTAATTTATGTCAGTAAATTCACACATTTTATCATCGTGTTTAAGTGTGCCTCTATAATAATATTCTCTATGAGCATACACGAGGGTTATCATAGTACCACCTAGGGAACATCACGTTTTCTATAGAAGTTCTTATCGCCAGGAGAGTGGTAAAGCAGCACAGACTTATATAAAAGTGTACCCTAGGCCATCCGACCAGTATCAGTGCCGGAATGGTGGCAACACTTTGGCAACAAGCAATGTAGTGGCTGGAGAGAGAGGTAAAGCCACACAGACTTTTATGGGAGAGTGCCTTGGGCTGACAGTCCAGTGTCAGATCTATAGGAGTAGCAACACTTTGGCAACAAGCAGTATAGAACACACCCAGTGAACTGCATCGCTGGGGTGCAGATATACCAACCCAGCTGGCGACCTTGTTAAAAAGAAGATAGGGAAGGCAGGCGGGAAAGGAATTCCTGCACCCTTTTTGTCCGGCAGGCAAGACTCAGGGTAAGACATTGTTAAAAGGTAAGCCTGAGTCTTCCTTCACTTCTCCACGGGTCTAGGCCGGAATTGCTAATAGCAGTTTCTTCGTAGTTGACTGAAGGGCTCCCAGGGTGAATCAGTGGCACTCCCACAGTGGTGGGAGCAAAGACCTGCTGTGGTGGGCATTGCTGGTCCTCTCCTGTGGGACCAAGGAGACTCCGGTGAATCCCGGGAGTCGGAGGGGCTGAGTATTCTGCCTTCTGAGCCCCTAGCAGCCGATTGCTAGCAGAGCCCCAGCCCACCCCCCGTGACAGGGGTTACACTGAAGCCTAACCAGGGTGTCACACAATGCCCCCATGCACTCTGGCTTGTGGTCTAGGAATTTTACCTCCCATGCTTCTCTTCAAATGCACAAAGAAATCACATTGACGTAATTATTCCTAATAGGTCAACTTCATCAATAAACACTAGGATCTTGTTACTCATTTTTATGCCAGTTTGATTTGCAATATCATGCTGTCTTATTACCACTATTGCCTGTTTTTTATGGCCACAAATATCGCATTTCTCAGTCAGATATTGCTGAAAGTTCCTGATTAATGACCCTCGTTGTAGTTGGCAGTTCTTCGTCAGCGTTCGCCACAAATTTCAGGAATGAGGTATAACAGATAACTGAAGTAGATATTCCACAACAAAGGACCAAGCACTGACCATGTGAAGCCTCACCTGGCCAAGCGTATCCTCGTTAAATCAAGCATAGCCTCAGCTGATCAAGTATAGCCTCATCTGACTTAGCATAGCCTAACCTGACCAAGCATAGCCTTACCTGACCAAGCATAACCTCACCTGACTAAGCATAACCTCACCTGACCAAGCGTAGACTCACCAGACACAGCGTAGCCTCACCTGACCAAGCCTCACCTTTTTCACTCCATAAATAAGCACAAACGCGATGACAATATGGGCGATCAACTCAAATATTTGTCCCACATCATCTGTGAAGAGAGACACGGCTCACGGGCTATTCATAAAAGTATGATGGAAGAATGAGAGAAGGCACACAAATCCACTTGTTTTTCTCGTGCAGTTTGTAACAAGCTATTACTGAACTTTGCATGTTTGGCCATATATGTGGATTCATTTGCTTATTATATATAAGTTCCGTAAAAACTGACCTGAAAATTGCGTCAATACAGTGATTATCAGGGCCAGGCAAACAACCTGGAAAAAGTATGTATTAGAAATATTAATTATCAGAGCCAGGCAAGCAACCTGGAAAAAGTATGTATTAGAAATATATTTGCTTGTACATGTGAAATGTTTGTGTATCAGTGGATGTGTGTGTTTGCATGTATTCACCTGCATGAGCTAGCATAGTTGAGCGTCAGCTCCTAAGCCTCGCCTTTCGAACCATTTAATGACTTTATTCTCTCGTTTTTCGTATCATTTTAATTTCAAATGGTTTATTGTGCCTGAGGGTGTAAATACCTGAGATTGATTGATTGATCGATGAAGATTAAGCCACCCAAGAGGTGGCACGGACATGAATAGCCCATAAGATATTATGTTTCATTTTATACACGGTGTGCAAGAGGTGTGTATGACGTCATAATGTTCAGGCTGCTTCAGGTTTTTGATCCAACTGAAGTGTCAGGCACTGTTTGCGTTGCGTTAATATGATGTGGTGTACCCTTACCCCGCCCTCCACCTATAAATAAATAAATAATAATAATAAATAAATAAATAAATAAATGTTTATTCAGGTAAGGTACATACATACAAGAGATTTTACAAAAATTGATAGATTTATAGATAGAGCTAGTACATACAATGCCTAAAGCCACTATTACGCAAAGCGTTTCGGGCAGGAAAAACAATAATAACTAAAACTTAATACTAATTGAGTATAAAGAATAAAATGTATTGAGAACAAATAAAAAAAAGGGGGGGGACATGGCTGAAAAGCAGCACAAATACAATTAGGTCGACAAACAGCGTTGTTTAAAAAAAAACAGACATGGGTTGACAATAGAGAGGTAAGGTAGGTTACAGGGAATTTATTAGGTAGTGCTTCGTTTTTATCTTAAACTGGTTGAGAGAGGTACAGTTTTTAACATGATTGGGAAGGTCATTCCACATTCTGGGTCCCTTGATTTGTAGAGCATTTCTAGTTTGATTAAGTCGTACTCTTGGAATATCAAAACTGTATTTGTTTCTGGTGTGGTGCTCATGGGTTCTGTTACAACCTTCTATGAAGCTTTTAAGGTCAGGATTGACATTATAGTTCAGTGTTTTATATATATAAAATACACATGAGAGGATGTGCAGTGACTTAATATCTAACATATTCAGAGATTTGAGTAGAGGTACCGAGTGATGTCTGGGGCCAGAGTTGGATATTGTCCTAATAGCAGCTTTGTGTTGAGTAATTAGAGGACGTAAATGATTGGTAGTAGAACCCCAAGCACAAATACCATAGTTGAGATATGGATAGATGAGGGAGTAATAGAGAGTCACCAGGGCAGGGCGGGGTACATAATATCTGATCTTAGAAAGAATGCCAACAGTTTTTGAAATTTGTTTGATATATTTAGAATGTATCCCTGGAAATTCAGCTTGTTGTCAATGAAAACGCCAAGGAATTTGCCATCTACTTTATTACAAATTTGGGTATTGTTTATCCTGAGATTTATTTGATTTGAGGGTTTATTGACAAACAAAATATAGAAAGTTTTGTCAATGTTGAGGGTGAGTTTGTTGGCAGTTAGCCTAAGATGGACTTTATTTAGCTCAGTATTCACTGTGACATTTAGAGCAAGGGGGTCAGGACTGGAGTAAATGAAGGTTGTGTCGTCAGCAAAAAGAATTGGTTTGAGGTGTTGGGAGGCATTTGGAAGGTCATTAATGTAGATGAGAAAGAGGAGAGGGCCAAGTATGCTGCCCTGAGGAACACCAATGTTGATGGGTTGGGTAGGAGAAATAGAATTATTCACAGAAACATACTGGAGCCTGTCAGTAAGGTAAGACTTAAATGAAAAATATAATGAAAGAAATATTACTGGTTTATTTTTATCCTATCTTTTTGTACTGTACAGTATATCCAAGGAAGTGAAAAATTGAGACATAATGCACAATTTAATGAATGATTAGCATGGATTAGCAGTTCAAAAGAAATATGACTATTACATATCAACATGAGATCTTAATGATCCATGGTCAACATGATTTAATAAGGACAATACAGTACTGTATTTGTAATAATACAAACTATAATTTAAAATCTTTATTACTGATTTTTTTTATTAAGAAGATTAGGTATACGCAGCAATGTGCTGCTTCCCTATTCTGTATAAAGGACCACACAGTGTAGATAAAAAACCAGCTACAAGCTCATCCAACATCCTCACCTCACAGGATGGCCAGTCATACATGGAATTAGGAGAGACCAAAATACTTAATGCTGATCTATTAGCCTCCACTGGCAAAATTTGGGTGCAGCACAAGAATATCTTCCAATATTCCTGAGTGTATGAAGTAATTACAGAGCTCAAAATACCTCATACCATTTGGTATGAAGTCACTGATAACAGGGCAATCACAGATATAGTGTTGGAGAGTATGTTCTCTCAAGTAGGACTGAAAACAGATGTTTTTTTCCACCAAGAGGGCTATAAACCCATGGAACCGCCTACCCGCTGAAACCGTAAATGCCAAATTCCAGCTAAAAAATATCATTAAGACAATTGGCGGGCCCTTTAACAAGCCGCCGGCTTTCTGTCCTCTTCGAGGCCACTAGATAGTTAGTGGCCCTTGGGTAAATTCAGTAAATATATACAATAATTGTCAGCGCATCTTCCGAGCAACAAGGACAGCTACACAGTATCTCTTAGAATTACGTAGGTAAACAACAAATGTAACATATTTGTTTACTACAATGTCGGTGCTGGCTGTAGAAGTTGAAAAAACATTGTTTTACTTCAAAATATACTAATTTTATAAGAAAATTCGACGTAAATAGGAGGCAGTAGAGCTCCGATAAGCCAGCGCTAAATCTTCAATATGAAGAATGTTGCTGCTCTCTGATTGGCCAAACGAAACACAGTAGTGACCTCTATCGGCACGCAGGTGAACCAACAAATTTCTTCCTAAGTGGACGTTATTGAATCGCACCTAAGCATCTTCTTAGGGCGCACTTAGGAACCTTCGTAGCAAACCCACTTACGAAGAAATACACAGAGCTTCCTGAATCTAGGTCCAGGAGTCTATCAGCGGGTTGGGCCCTTTCTGTGCGATGCCCAGATTGATCTAACCCTTCTCTCTAAGTATCTGTCGAGCCTTGTTTTAGAATTAGCTCTATTATTTATCTCAGTTACACTGGCCCGAGACACTCTGAGCAGTGCCACTGCAATCTCCAGATTCTGATTATCCCGGAAAACACAAGTACTATTCAGCGATGCTCACTATCCTCATCAACACTCACTCTCTCCCACAACTCTCACTATCTCCCGCAACTCTCACTATCGCCCACAACACTCACTATCACCCACAACACTCACTATCACCCGCAACACTCACTATCTCCAACGAGGCGATGATGAGGGCGCCAGTTTGCAATGAACAACAGCAACAGCAGCGCTCCAGCACCAGCCTGTGGCCACGGGTGGCGGCGGTGCAGCACTCCATCTCTGAGGGAGGCGCTGACGAGAGGAGTCTCACACCTGTGGAGAGACGAGCCGTATTACGCTAAAAGCAACATAATTAAAAAAATTAATACATAAATAAGTACTGAAACAACACATACACCTCCAGTCAAACGTGTGTTTTATTTTACAATCAAGGAAAATAGCCTAACCAACTTCTGTTTTGTCTTATTAGAAATAGATCTCTGCCATGTTCGTCAGGCATGATTTTCTCTTTCTTAATCCAGTCTGATCTTTCGTTACAAAGTTGGTCTAAGTGCTTCAACATTCTCAACCTGATTACGTTCTCCAATGGTTTACACGGAATACTTGTCAGTGACACGTCTGTAATTTAGTACCTTGTCTGAGAGATTTCTATCTCTTGTGATTTACTGAACATTTCAGAGAGCGGGGTGACAAAGTAGTTGTGCAGCCTCTTTCAGCAGCCATGGTGAGATTAAATCTGGTCCCACTGATTTTGTTACATCTTGTTCCTCCAGGTGTTTTGTTTACCTCTTCAACAGTGACTGTCATCTATTGTTTCTTCTGGCCTTTCATTCTGCAGCCTTGGTCTCCATGTTGGTTCTGTTATTAAGACCTGAAATCTTTTCTTAAGTTCCTCAGATACTTCCTTATTGTTTTATGTGAGAAGTCTCTTGGTCTCACTGTTATTTTCATCCTTGTCTGGCTAAATAACAGCTTTGATTGGACCTTAGTCTCTCCCTCCACAAAGTCATTTTCAAACTGCCTCTCAGCTTTTCTTTTGACTCGGGTGCATTCATTTCTGATTCTCTTTAGGGTCTCTTGTTTTCAGTTTCTCGTTGTCTGTATTTTTTCAAGAATTTTTGTTTTTGCCCTATCTTTAGCTTCCCTGCATTGCTTATTGAGCTGGGGATTTACTTTACTTTTTGTCCAATTCCTTTTTGAGTGGAAAGATCGTCAATAGTTCTGTCTTCCCTTGGACTTACCTACGGTAAGATGAGGTAGTAAGATAGTTCTTCATCTTCCTCAACAGGTTTCTTTGGCTAACAAACTTCCAGCTCTACTCTGTACTCAAGGAGGATAATGCAGTGTTCGCTAGCTCCAAGACGAATCTCGTACTCTATATTGTCAACATCTGTCTCATTTTTGGAAAACATTAGTGAAAACATATGGTGTTGCTGGTGTGTTTTCTCTTTTCACTTTTGTTTGTCCTGTAATATGCTGCTTTAACGAGTGTTTACCGTCTACCAGTTTTGCTCTCCATGACTCGTCACTCCCGTGGGGGTCCTTATTTGTCCAGTCTATTTCCCTGTGATTAAAATGCCTTAATGTTAAAATTTTAGCTTTTGCTCCCTTGCCACTGTGGCTGCTTCTCCCATTACCTTTATGCAGTTCTTGTTACATTTGTTGTAGTCTTCCCTAGCTCTTCCATTGTTTGGTGGTGACTGTAAATCACAACATCCACTAGCATCATGTCTCACTCTGTTACTATTCAAAGTATTTACTCTGGCTGGTCAGTTTTATTTAATAATTTTACTCCAATTACTCCAATAACAGTAATTTTTACTCCAGCCTCAGGGAACTCAAACGGAACTCCATGCACAGCAACATATGTGGTCTCCTCGCACCGATCCGACACCGTCACCAGCAGGCAGCATGAAGGCTCGCCCATCATAACGATCTACAAATCCCTGGTAGACAGCCATGGAGCCGAATTTCATCACTGCCCCGTGACCTGTGACAAGCTGTACTTCACAGACCACCACTACATCTACCTGCAAAAGGTTCACCCACTTCAACTGCTGGGTAAGACGCCTATCCGGTGTATTTCAGGCCAAACACATCCTTCCGCTGGACAGGGGGCAAAGGCACCCCCCATACCACAGGCCAGCACGGCCCCAAGGCCCCGCAACAGTGCTCACCAACAAATGCTCTCTGCGGGCTTTTGAACACTGAAGTACACAGCGACACATCTGTACCTACCGGTAACCAGAGAAGGAGTCTCGGTCAAGAGGCTACTAGCTGTACTTAATAAATTCGTGGCCCCCAATCACCAACAACAACTTAATAAATCATCTTTGTTCAGCACACCAACCTTGCTTACAACTTTCTGCTTCAACTTTAATCTACCAAAATAGTGAACTGTTAATTATTTATAAGTATTTTGGTAAACAAGATATAACTTTATAATATTTGCCTTTCATTCCTGTTATTTCCCTTCTTTATTGTCGGCACATATCGCCAATTTCGGGGCTGCTACTTCATTCATTAATTAATTATCATATTGCCACTGGTGATATTCTTCTCTGACATATTCTAATAAAAGTTACTGGTAGCCTTGAGCAAGACGCTGCGTCATAAATGTGTTGATGTTTATACCACTTGAGGGCCTCTCGTGTTACATAGAACCCGGTTGAAGACACTTGCCACACACCACGGGATACATGTGTATACCACACATTTACCGTTTTCTATCTCGTTATTCATTAGTTTCTCATCCAACCGCACCTTCTCAACGCCTGCCATACACACCTGGGGACTACCATACAAATTTAGGGCCTGACGGGTGAGTGGACAGCGCTCGGGATTCGTAGTCCTAGGGTCTGGAGATCGAACCCAGTCGCAGGCGGAAACAAATGGGCAGAGTTTCTTTCACCCTGATGTCTTTGTTCACCTAGCAGTAAATAGGTATCCGGGAGTTAGGCAGCTGCTACGGACTGCTTCTTGGGGGGGGAACAAAAACACATAAACCAGTTGATTGATTGACAGTTGAGAGGCGGGCCCAAAGAGCCAGAGCTCAACTCCCGCATGTACAACTAGGTTATCTTGAGGTTATCTTGACATGATTTCGGGGCTTAAGTGTCCCCGCGGCCCGGTCCTCGACCAGTCCTCCACCCCCAGGAAGCAGCCCGTGACAGCTGACTAACACCTAGGTACCTATTTTACTGCTAGGTAACAGGGGCATAGGGTGAAAGAAACTCTGCCCATTGCTTCTCGCCGGCGCCTGGGATCGAACCCAGGACCACAGGATCACAAGTCCAGCGTGCTGTCCGCTCAGCCGACCGGCTCCCCTAGGTGAGTACACAAATAACGCGTTTTCCTTGCATTTACTTTTGTGAAGCTGTCGGTAGCACCAGCTGACGAGCGTCCATAAACACGGTGCTGGATGCAACAGGAGGAAGGAACACAATAAAAATAACATGTTATCTGGTGAATCGTTGTCGGGAGCAGGAAGCGTGTTAGGACTATCATGCCAGAGACCTTCGCCTCACTGGCCTAGTAACGCGCTTGTTATCCATTGTTCTTAATTTACTTCACTTATTATGCGCCACTTACTTATCCTGTGCTGCCCTTTCCCATCCTGTGTACCCTTTACCCATCCTGTGAGTGGTAGTGGACCCTTTACCCATCCTGTGAGTGGTAGTGGACCCTTTACCCATCCTGTGAGTGGTAGTGGACCCTTTACCCATCCTGTGAGTGGTAGTGGACCCTTTACCCATCCTGTGAGTGGTATTGGACCCTTTACCCATCCTGTGAGTGGTAGTGGACCCTTTACCCATCCTGTGAGTGGTAGTGGACCCTTTACCCATCCTGTGAGTGGTAGTGGACCCTTTACCCATCCTGTGAGTGGTAGTGTACTCCTTACTCGTCCTGTGAGTGGCAGTGGACTCCTTACTCGTCCTGTGAGTGGCAGTGGACTCCTTACTCGTCCTGTGAGTGGCAGTGGACTCCTTACTCGTCCTGTGAGTGGTAGTGTACTCCTTACTCGTCCTGTGAGTGGCAGTGGACTCCTTACTCGTCCTGTGAGTGGCAGTGGACTCCTTACTCGTCCTGTGAGTGGCAGTGGACTCCTTACTCGTCCTGTGAGTGGCAGTGGACTCCTTACCTATCCAGTAAGTGGCAGTGGACTCTTTGTACATCCTGTGAGTAGTAGTGAACCCTTTACCCATCCTGTGAAACTGGTAATCCGTTTCACAGGAACATCTTGTGAGTGGTAATTAGCCTCATCCATTCAATTCTCATCCAGTAAGAGGTAGTGGACCCCTTACCCACCCTGTGAAAGTAGTGGACCCCATACCCATCTTGAGGGTGGTAAATTTCATGACTCAGATTCCTGCATGTTAGTGTGATGATAGATGGAATAACTTGTATAGATTTCAATGAGTCTTATATCTACACAGTTTTCTTAGCTTTCTTCGTGTATTATTATTCTCAGGCACGTAATAGGCAGTCCAAGGTCAACTCCTTATTTGAAGACGTTCTTTGGCTAACTCCTTCAGTTATATTATACATTCAGAGGTCAAAATGAGTTTGAATCCACATGAAAAGGTCTCCGATGTCAACATTAATTAAATTTTAATAATTTTTATGTACCTGTGTAACACCTGTGCCTACACAAGCTTGTTACAATTGTCTTAATATGAGCGCAATTAACGATGACAATCACTTACAATTAGTGTAACGTATAAATTTGGGTGGGATGTGCCCACGAGTGCTTGGAGCATAGGAAAAGCTGAGTACTAAGAGTAGAGGGCTAGTTGTTTGTAAGGACCTATAACTCAAGCGGACCAGTTGTTTGTAAGGACCTATAACTCAAGCGGATCAGTTGTTTGTAAGGACCTATAACTCAAGCAGAATAATTGTTTCTATGGATTACCACATTTAGGGTGGAAATTTATGAAAATTTGTCCCTCTCGAGACGTGAAAAATGCTGCAGCCTGAAGGTCTAATTAAGAACCTAGCTAGTCGACGGTAAACGGGGGGGGGGGGGGGGGGGCGATAACTCTAATTTGATGTTGGTGATTCCTTACCCTACTTTATATGAATGGTACCCATCGTTTGTATGACAACTGTCTAGGAACAATTTGCGTCTGGTTCCGTACTCTTACCTGTTTAACAGCCGCCGTCCCGTGGCGGCGAGGAGCGACCAGGCCTACTGGACGAGGCGTCCGTGGCGGCGAGGAGCGACTACGCTTACTGGAGGAGGCGAGGCTGGCGAGGAGCGACCAGGCTTACTGGAGGAGGCGAGGCTGGCGAGGAGCGACTAGGCCTTACTGGAGGAGGCGAGGCTGGCGAGGAGCGACCAGGCTTACTGGAGGAGGCGTCCGTGGTGACGAGAAGCGACCAGACCTTACTGGAGGAGGCGAGGCTGGCGAGGAGCGACTAGGCCTTACTGGAGGAGGCGTCCGTGGTGGCGAGGAGCGACCAGGCTTACTGGAGGAGGCGTCCGTGGTGGCGAGGAGCGACCAGACCTTACTGGAGGAGGCGAGGCTGGCGAGGAGCGACCAGGCCTTACTGGAGGAGGCGTCCGTGGTGGCGAGGAGCGACCAGACCTTACTGGAGGAGGCGAGGCTGGCGAGGAGCGAGCAGACGTACCGTAGGACGCAACACCAGAGGGGTAACTGGCTGACTGTAACCCTCCCGGGGCCACAACTCAAGACTATTAACAGAGACTCGGGTCGTCACAAGACTCTTCAACAATGCTTATAATTTCCACGGAGGTTAACAGCTGAAAGCCACTAAGAATTACAAAGTTGTTCACTCAAGGGAAACACATGAAGGCCACTGTGAAGAGGAGTACACGAGGATGAGCAAGGTGGAGATATTTTGGTGGCGGTCAATGAGGACGAGATGAGCACAGGAAAGTGTGCAGCACATGCATATGTGCTTCCTAAAAGGTTTTATTGTGTGTAATCCTTCACTCGCCTCTCTCACTATCTCTACACTCGCCTCTCTCACTATCTCTACACTCGCCTCTCTCACTATCTCTACACTCGCCTCTCTCACTATCTCTACACTCGCCTCTCTCACTATCTCTACACTCGCGCCTCTAAATATCTTTCTATACTCGCGTCTCTCATTATCTCCACACTCACCTCCCTCACTATCTCTACACTTTTTTCTCTCTCACTATCTCTACACTTGTTGTCTCTCTCATTATCTCTACACTTTTTTCTCTCTCACTATCTCTACACTTGTTGTCTCTCTCATTATCTCTACACTTTTCTCTCTCTCATTATCTCTATACTTGTCTCTCTCACTATCTCTACACTTGTCTCTCTCATTATCTCTACACTTTTCTCTCTCTCATTATCTCTATACTTGTCTCTCTCACTATCTCTACACTTATCTCTCTCATTATCTCTATACTTGTCTCTCTCATTGTCTGTACCCTTGTCTCTCTCTTCCTATCCTTGTTCTTTATATTATTTATGATTTATTTATATTATTGTAGGTGAGTATATATATACATATATAGTTAAGAGTATTGTAAATGCTGTTCTTTTTTACGAGAAAATACACATCATAATATGTGTTTATTCTGTGTGTAGCTTTATGTACTTACCTATCAGTACTTAACTCTCAGTGACTCGGGGGAAGTGAGGTCTAGCTCTTTATGCCCCGCTCTCTAGCTATATGTATTGAGCTATAATTTAACTATTCTGACTTTCGAAGTATTTATCAAGTGTTATGAAACGCCGTATTGTGTTATTTCGTCGCATAAAGGCACGGTTGTTTAATAGTAATATGTTCATTATTACAGGACGAACAAGGTTAACGACCATGGAGATCGTTAACGGTCAGCACGGTATGGCTCGTCCGGTGGCGGGAATTTCTGTTAGCCAATCAGAAGCACCGGGCGAGGTAATGAGTGCTGGTCGGAGCAGGTGGAGAAACAGACATCTACTCCCCTCCATTCAGTCAACATGCTGTCGTCGCTTTCGGAAGTTTGACCAACTGACCCAACTGTTCCAGTATGCTCCACCCTCACCAAGGAAACGGACGTGAGGACCTAGCGGCATGGTAGACGTCTCAGAGGTCGTGGAAGGCACCGCCTTTGATAGTTAGAGGTCGGCGTTGAGGTAACACACAGTTTCCGAATAGTAGTACTAATTACGGAAAAGTGGATGATCTATAAGTGGGAAGAAACATCGGACAAGTGACGACCATTTCATGGTCGCAGTGTCTTTATATATATATAACCATATTATTATATTATATTATAATATGATAATATTATAATATGATAATAATATTATAATATAATATAATATTATATTATAATATATTATGATATATTATAATATAATATTATATTATAATATATTATATATTATATTATAATATATTATAATATATTATTATATTATAATATGATAATATGATAATATAATATTATTATAATATATAATATAATATTATATAATATTATATACTATTATAATATTATAATATAATATATAATATAATATATTATATACTATTATAATATATTATAATATATTGTGACGATAATCTCCTTCAAGAGATTGAGCCTGCTCTTCCCTCCAAAAGACGTCGATATAAACATCTATATAAAACAAGTATGGAAGAAAAATCCAACAACGACAACACCAGCAAGGTTTGCCAGAGCGCAAAACGTATGCAGCCAGGAACACCTGCTCCACCTCAAACCGCCAAACTACCTGTCTTGTCGCCGGCTCATCGCTGATTGGCTGCGGGTCTAGCTGCAACTGCACTCTACCCACCATACTACTTGATGTCTGGGGCCGCCACGACCTCAGTCTTCAGAATATCCCGTGCTTTCGACAAGTTAACACGTCTCGTTGGTAGACTAAGCCCCAGGCTTACGTGTACTAAGAGAGGTGGCAGCTTAAAGCCAATATTCCGGCACCTATTTACTTTGTTTCACACTTGTTATTTGTTCACTTGTCTTAACGTAACTTTTCATTTTGCCATTCGATTATTCTTATTACTTTGATTGATTTTATTATACGAATTTGTATGTCCATTTTATTCGTGTTTTGCTTTCTTTAACGTAATTAAAATTTCATTGTTAAAATTTACTTGTGTTTTGTGTGTCTTCTCCTTACCTTACCACAGACAAAGTTCCAGATTTTCTATTTTTTTTTTCTATATGTGACGAGGCCATACCCCTAGCTTTTGAACAGCCGAACACCAACGCGTTACCGTCACAATATAATATAATATATAAAATATAATATTATATTATATAATATATAATATATAATATATATAATATATATATATAATATATAATATATATATAATATATATAATATTATATTATATAATATTCATGTACAATGCCTTAATATATACATGTTTTATATTGTATATAATGTGGATGGAGATATATCCGAATATATCCATGATGTTTTTATACAATCTTATTTTCTTGTCCTTTGTCAGACCTCGGCACAAAGTGTGTCGCACCTGACAATAGGTCCGGCTGAGGCTGACACCTGATCAGATTAATATACCCCGTTATATTACAACGAAACATAAGATAAACACTCAAAACAAACCTATTTTAAATGTGTTGGGTTGTCGACAGTTCGATCCCAACACAAGTCTGGCCTTAAGGTCTTGAAAGGAGTTATCTTCCAATACTTATTTTTTTTCAGTTCATGTACGTTTGTTGGAAGTTTCCAACACTAAATACAACACTGTTGTATTCTCATTAATTATTACTAATTCTACTAATCATTGTAGTGAGTAAAATTAACCCAACGTAGAGTTCGCATGTACTAATAATTACATCTGTACAATAAGGCTAGAATTCTTACGTCACCCGACGCCAGTATTGTCAGATTCCATTGTAATAAACACATTTATGTCCAATGTGTCTGAGAATTGAATTTGATTCTCTATAAACAACTGTGTTCTGTGTGATAATTAATTACAGATAAACTGATCCCTAACTAAAGCCAAATAGAGCGTTTATGGTTATAACTGTTATCTAGTATTAAATTTAACGTCACGCGTGAATGCCCTGGAGAGACTTTAATTCATCTCCATTGTTCGTTTACTATCATAAAACTGGCGAATAATAATATTTAACTCCTCTAAATAATAAACTCGTCCTAACCCGTGCATTTCAATCACAACTGTGAGAAATGATAATATTCACAATAAATAATTTGAGTAACAAACGCGGGACGCGTAGCGGGGCGGAGGAGACGCTAGTCGGCACGAGGTGACGCGTACGTGAGCACACGTGACAACACGCTCACGACGAGACGCCATTACCCAGCCACCAGGGTAGACGCCATCAAGACCTCTAGAAGAAAGTCGCCACTGTGAGGTGTGAAGAACTCTTGCAGAAAATACCTTCACTGGTGTCAGTGTCATTCACGGAACCTGTTAAATTTGGTTCTATGTAACTCCACGTGACCGGCCAGTGAAGCGCGTCAGTATCTAGGATAGGCTAGACCGGAGCCTAGGACGCGAATTTCGGCAAGCCTTAACTTACACAGTGCCCATATTAGCTAAGTATCCTTATCCTTATTTGATGCATCTTATAGGGGGTAGGTTTATAGCTGGGTAGCTTGTCGTGACGCCGTGCGACCATAAAAAACTACAGGTTATTATTTTTCTGATGTTTAATCTCGTTTTCTTGAATATAGATTTCTAGTAGTTTAATTTGTTACTACTGAAACCAATTTGATTTACAGCGTGTGTGAAGAATTCTCCGAGCTGTCATTTCCCATGTTAATCAACTCCCAGTGTTCCATGACGAGTCCAGGGGAATCAGAAGATGAGTCATAACTAACTTCTGGGGAATCGTCATTAAGCTAAGATTCCTTTGTATTCCTTGATTATTATCTGTACTCCTTTACATGCAGAACTCTGTTCATTGGATTAACATGTGTTTATTATACTCATTATTTCATGTTTGTAGTCTATGTTCTTTTTGAAGATAAAGATAATGACTCTATAAATATTCATAGGATTAGATTATTATACATTGGACTGGTGAACGAACCACACTAGTTCCTGGACGTACTGAGTTCCAGTAATACCCCTCCAATGTAGGTGTTTGAGGCTTTGATTCATTTAATTATACAGCCCATTAATTATTTCAATGATCATACTCTCTAGTATTTTATCCATAGTTACTGGTTCATCTAGGAATTTTCTAATGATCATATTTTCTCAGTTTCCCTCTTTACTATAAAAGCGGGTGGTCCTTCGTAATTCATTTTACTATATTAATATTTAAATAATTAGAGTCAAGCCCCAAATGTCCCACAACGTTTATTGAGGTAATAAATTGTGGTTTTAAGGCTAGGTAACGATGATAGATATACAAGATACGAGCTAGTTGGTGTTGAGATTGCGAAAGGGATCTGTTAGTTATGATTAGTATGAATTTAAAACCAAATTCCCAGTGCATAAATGTTCGTAGTAAGGCCAATAGGATAGCAGGATTTATTTATTCGAATCAATTGTAATAAAACGCCTAGTGTTATTCTTCAGCTATATCTTGTTCTTATTAGGTTTATGCATTTAGATTATGCAGTTCAGTTTCGGTCGCCATACTATAGAATGGATATAAATTCACTAAAACGCGTCCAGCGTAGGATGGCAAATTAATCCCGCAAATAAGAAACCTGTCAGGTGAAGAAAGATTAACCAAGCTTAATTGACATTCTTTGCCCGAAAGGCTATGCGTATTAGTGGCTTTAGGTATTGTATGTACTAGTTCTATCTATAAATTCAACAGTATGTTTGTAACTCTGCAGTGAGTAACATGCAGTAACTCTGCATGTTCTTTTCCTAAATAAAATGTTATTTATTATTTTTATTCTCTAGAAAGTTGAAGAATTATGGGTGACATGACAGATGTGTACAAGTGGATGAATAAGCATTGCAAAGGGGATATTAAGAGGGTATTAAAAGTATCAACACAAAATAGAACATCTAGCTCGTATCTTGTAACTCTATCATCATTACTTAGCCTCAAAACCTTATATTTGTCAGCATTAAACTGCATCTGCCAATATTTTGACCATTTCAAAATCCTATTTAGATCGTCTTGAAGTGATTGTTACGTACCCTTATAAGATACGTAAGTGAATATATTAATATGTACATTTATAATTGTATGTAAATTACAAACATGTATATTGTTATACTTATATGTTCTATGCAAATGCACATTCATGTTACAGTGTTGGCGTTAGGCCCAGCGTATCGTGGGAATGATTGTTTATTTCTTTGTGTGATCAGTTTCCCACGGGAACTAATGATTTATATGTGATCATAAGTGGGTAACAGAGTGAAATAATAATTGAGTGAACTGTATCTGGCAAATTGTCGTGGGATCGTCCGTTGCTGGGTGTGCATGCCATTATTTCTTTCTGTATGCATATTTTAATTACTATGTAAAGAAACAATTGCTTTGTTGTCTATATCAATATGTACTAATTATTCATTAAGTTAGTTTAAGATTACTCTTGTCACAATGTAGTGCTCCATTGTTGAAATAATAAATATTGTAACTTTGGCAATTTATTCGCGGGGCAAGGCAATGTGTTTTTTGACTCGCATATTGTAGACCAGTAGCTGAGCAGAAACCAGGGAGATATCATCTTGGAGTTAAGTCATTCTTTTGTTCTAGCCATATAATTATTCTTAGTATTGATTTAATGTCTGGAAGTTACAGTGATATTTTTAATGTGATATATTGTGACCATATAATCATCTGTTTGCTTTTGAGATTTATTTAATATAATATTATATATATATATATATACTTAGTGTCTTTATTCTTCAGTCCTATGAAGATTCTATTTTATGCTCATTACCCATTAAGGGGTTATACTGGTGATTCGCTATTGAGAACAGCAGTTGTGTCGTATCCCTAGACTTATTAAAGTTGGCTGCTGTAGGATCACGAGCCGTAACGTACGATAGGTAACAGTGATAATGAGTCTTTTTCCATGTTTATTCCACCCCCAATTTTTGTATCATCGGCAAATATATCATGAATAACAGAGGTCCCAGGACAGAGCCATGAGGTACTCCACTTACAACATTTTCCCGCTCTAACTTAACCCCATTTATACGTACTTTTTTTTCCTTTGGTATAGCCATGCGCTTATCCAACTTAATATAGCAAGCCCAATACCGTTAGTCTCTATCTTTTTAATCAGTCTTTCATGTGACACTGTATCAAAAGCTTTGCTAAAGTCAAGGTACACATCACAAACCTTACTAATATCAACTGCCTCAACTATGCTGGAATAAAATGAGAGCAAATATGTTAAACATGAACGATCATTTGTAAAATCTTGTTGTGAATCGTTTATTAATTTGTTTTCAAAATGAAGACGAATGGTATTTGCAATTATCGATTCGAGTAACTTTCCCATAATAGACGTTAAGCTAATTGGCCGATTGTTTGACGCAAGTGATCTATCTCCTTTCTTGAAAATTGGTACCACATTAGCAACCTTCCACGACTCTGGCACTCTGCCTGACTCTGATGATATTAAATATGGTAGACAACGGCTCATAAAGCTCCTATTTGCATTCTTTAAGCACCCTGGCAAGCACTTCGTCGGACTTTGGGGATTTGTTTGGCTTGAGTTTCACTATTTGTTAAATAACATCCTCCATGGTAACTGCTAAACTAATCAACCTGTCCTCTTTCCCATCCATATAGACTTGTTCGGTTGAAGGCATAATGTTAAATTCCTCATTAGTAAGTACTGAGATAATATATCTAGGCTTCGTTTCCTACTACCATTAGGCTAGTCTTAAACCACTGTAACGTACGATTATGTTGTTTGGTTAGATTAGATACACAGTGTTTAGTGTTAAACTTTCATATTTATTTGGTTTGGGTCTTTCTCCCAAATGTTGGTCACTGGCTATCGTTGTCTCTCCACTGTTTTTTCCTTGTTCTTGCTTTATGTAGCACATATACATGTGCTATATTAAGCCTTAAATAGCGTGTATGAAGCCTTGGATGGTTAGATTAGGTTTGGTTAAGTTTTATTAGCAACATAAAAGATTTTCCGGTTTGTTTAAACTCGATAGAACAAAATTCTACTTTCTAATTGTCCTTTACGTCAAAATATGTACGATGACCCACATCGTTACTATAAGTATTATCTAATCAGGTGGATGTTCTGTCTGCAAACATTGACATGTCTCATAGACAGTGGGAGATGTGGCACCACTGCTCAGAGGCAGTGTAAGATGTGGCACCACCGCTCATAGGCAGTGGGAAATGTGGCACCACTGCTCAGAGGCAGTGTAAGATGTGGCACCACTGCTCAGAGGCAGTGTAAGATGTGGCACCACTGCTCAGAGACAGTGTTATTTATTTATTTATTTTATTTATTTAGTTATTTATTTATTGATAAACAAGAAGGAACAATAGGTTTACGAGTACATAGCATTGATGTTTTAAAATTCTTGTAAAGCCACTAACACGCTTAGCGTCTCGGACAGGTCCTTAATCAAACGGATAATTTTTAGATGGTAATGTATAGCAAAATTGATTTTTTTTTAACAGGTACATTGTAAGAAAATTTTAAGGAACTTAGTAGGAACATTATAGTAAAATTTGGAGATTATCAACAGGTACATTGTAGCATAATTTGAGGATTATTACTAGGTATATTGTAGTAAACAACCCTATAAACAACACTATAACAACCCTGATTTAAGATGATAGTAGTGATTAAAATGATGAAGTTGTATGACTTAGGCACATATATTAGGGGAGTTGGGAGCACATGATACAGCACGAATTTGAAGCACTAGGTAGGAAACTATGAGGGTGAAATTAGGTACTTTTTTGGTTTTACTTTTGAATAAGGCATTGGTTGGACAGCTTTTTAATTCATTAGTGAGTGAGTTACATATACTATAGATCTCTTTATTTGCTTAGAGTGTTTACACATATTTAGTTTGACTCTCGGGATTTAAGAGATATTTATTTTCGGTGTGGTGATTATGGGTTCTATTACATCTGTCAAGAAAGAGTTTCAGATCAAGATTTGCATTTTTAACAAGGTTTTGTACATGTAAATGGCACAAGAGACTGTGTGGAGTGAGTTTATGTTTAGCATGTTTAGGGATTTAAACATGGGGGCTGAGTGTTGTCTGAAAACAGTTTGTTATTATCCTGATAGCAGAATTTTGCTGGGTGATGATGGGCTTGAGGTAGTTTGGTAGTGTAAGATGTGGCACCACAGCTCAGAGACAGTGGGAGATGTGGCACCACAGCTCAGAGACAGTGGGAGATGTGGCACCACCGCTCAGAGACAGTGGGAGATGTGGCACCACCGTTCAGAAGGGAAGGAAACTATTAGGGGGAAATTGCCAAGCTATTACGAATATATAGTGCTGGGAAGGGATCAGAATATATATATATTGGGTGGGACGGGGGGGGGGAGGAATAGTGCCCAACCACTTCGACTGTCGGGGATTAAACGCCGGCCTGCAGGAAGCGAGACCATCAGTCTACCGTCCAGCCCAAGTGGTACTACCGTTCAGAGACAGTGTGAGATGTGGCACCACCGCTCAGAGAGTGTGAGATGTGACACTGCCGCTCAGAGATGTGGCACTAGAGATGATGAAGGAGGGATGCCAGCTGTGCAGGAGCCCTCAATGACGCGGTAAGGTTCAAGTAACATAACAGAGCGCGAACAGCTGCATGACCACACAGATGAAGGGCAACACCGCTACTCAAATGTGTGGCTGCCGAAGTTGTCGCACATAAACCAGTGTACTTTGTTCGTCTGGCAGCGTGCCGAGACTCTGCTAATGACACTAAGTGGTCAATGGTCGTTGGACGGCCTCACTACCCAGTGTGGCTCGCAGCTGGGGTCGTGGTCTCCTGCCTGACTTGACCTTCACCGATATTTAGAGATATATATTACATGTTCACGAGCGTAATCAATGACCAGGACCGTCAAGAACTGTACAGTGTCACTTCAGAAGGCAGAACCATCTCTTCACCCAACTGAAATGTCTAAATTTTACCACTAAACTCTGTTCCTTAATTTAACTTGTGAATGGAACACTTGAAAATCAGACCTCATCGAATCCACGTTATGAGTCGGCCGTCTCCTTACACTCATCAGTCAAGTAAGTCCTCTGTCATTAACTAACACCAATGACATACTTGTCAGGAATAAATTACTCTCAGATTTGATGAAAACCGAGAATGTAAATGTCAATATTCGTGTTCACTTGAGACAGTTAAGCAAGTCCCAGCTGCGTCCTGGTACAAGTGACAGGATGAACAACGCCAGCGGGTATTTTTTCTATTGGGTGTTGCACATGCTGCTGTTGAAGGACATTTGCTCTCATGGTGAGTGATGCTGCCCAGTAAACTCGCCCTTTGGGGCCAAATATAACCCCAAAAATTCAAAGATTTATTGATAGGCCCAGTAGACCCTAAGTGTTGCCACTGAAACTACCGAAAATATTCTTCTTAGTGTCTTACGACGATAATGAGGAAGCCGCTAAGGAACTTACTGTCTGGCTTATAAGTACGTTGTAGTGACTATAGTCACTTGGAAAGTGTAACTGAGGGCTAGTAATAAGATGTAGGATCTATGTTGGGATAAATGCAGATGTATTTCGGATGACTTTTCGAAAATATAATTTTGATTTGAAGGTCCACAAAAATATTTTTATATTAGGAAATAATATTGATAATAATCGGTATTTTTTGAATTCCTTCAAAATATAAAGGAATAAAAAATCCAAGGGCATAATATAACTAAATACAAATGATTTCTTGAAATTAAAGTTAATAAAACTAGGGGACACTAGTATAAATAAAAGTAAATAATATCAATATACTTCAACATGCGGGAAGCCAAAGGTGAGTGTGTCGTACCTGGCGCCTGAAGCTTGGGGGCTCTTCGGGTCCCACCAGTAACTTTTGTTTTCTTTATTAAATAATATACAATATAAAGATCATATTTACATCTATTTACAAGGGAAAATATTACATTATATTTAATTCATATAATTCTCAGTAAACCAATGTTTCATATCATCACCGAGCATGAGCCGTAAACCTCAAATGTTATACTTGATCCTGCCTCGCAAGAACTTCAATATGTTATCTACTGGGTAACCCTCCTGCCTGCCTATCCACACACACAAAAAGTAATCAGAAAGTAGCATAATTATTGTATTCTTAATTTTCTTGTATTTTATGTCAACATGAAACATTAAACCTCATGAAATCAACTTTGGTTGATGGGGTTCTGGGAGTTCTTCTATTCCCCAAGCCCGGCCCGAGGCCAGGCTTGACTTATGAGAGTTTGGTCCACTAGGCTGTTGCTTGGAGCGGCCCGCAGGCCCACATACCCACCACAGCCCGGTTGGTCCGGCACTCCTTGGAGGAAACAATCTAGTTTCCTCTTGAAGATGTCCACTCTTGTTCCGGTAATATTTCTAATGCTCGCTGGGAGGATGTTGAACAACCGTGGACCTCTGATGTTTATACAGTGTTCTCTGATTGTGCCTATGGCACCCCTGCTCTTCACTGGTTCTATTCTGCATTTTCTTCCATATCGTTCACTCCAGTACGTTGTTATTTTACTGTGTAGATTTGGTTCTTGACCCTCCAGTATCTTCCACGTGTATATTATTTGATATCTCTCTCGTCTCCTTTCTAGTGAGTACATTTGGGGGGCTTTGAGACGGTCCCAATAATTTAGGTGTTTTATCTCGTCTATGCGTGCCGTATATGTTCTCTGTATTCCCTCTATTTCGGTAATCTCTCCTCTAATGCTTGGTCCACATAAAGCTTTAAGAGTGTCTATCATCCAGTTTACAAAAACAACTTTCTGTTTACAGAAATACAATATATGCATATTATTCTCAATTTCAGTCCAGTGATCACACCTATTGTTGTCCTTAATTCCCAACATCAACTGTGGAAAATTCCACTCATCATGTTAATATCCATATTATCTAAGGAATGTATTATTCCATATCATATCTATATATCAGAATCATGTCGGATTCATTATCTATTGATCACATCTACTGTATCTACATCAGCATCCTGCATGACCATTGGTCAAATACACCATTGGGTTAATGCCTATATAATATTATAGATGTGATCACAAGAATCTAGAAGCTTCCATATAATAAAAAAAAATTGCTGGAACCAAATTAATAGCTTCCAATGATGTATTTTCAAAATCCTTAATGGAGAACAAAATATACTATCCTGTTAATAATATACTGTTAATAATCTTTAAAATCTACTAAGTAATCATCTTGTGATATAACTATCACAATAATCAGTCTAAATAATGAAAATAATAAATCTATAATCATTGATGGCATCTTTACTGACGCCGCCGGTGGGGCAGAATCGTCCTGTACATGATCATTCTTTGTTTACATCCGGAGAGTGCACATATGTGAAGTGGTGGAGACATTTTCAGCAAGATAATTACTCACAAACGTATCATAACCTTCAGTGATAGCTCTCTAAATACTGGGAGAGTGTCTGAACTGTAAAAGGGGAAGAATTCCTGGTACATATATCCAAATTCAAGAGTGTGGAGGTCCACCGGCTAGTGGCCCCACCACCACCTCATACTACCTAGTGAGTTAGTTTAGTTCATTTATTATGCACCCCATACCCATCTTGTGGGCGGTAGTGGAAAGAGTTACAGAGGCACATAATGGGCTCAGGGACTGAGCCCCACAATTCATTTAGCTACGCAAGTTACAATCTTGATGAGCTAGTTACAAAATTCAGTATAAGTCGTCACATCATAAATGGGTTCGAGATCGACCACAAGTAAAGTTTCTAAATTAATTAAATGTTTGTCCTGCACACCGCCCCCATCCAGTGGGCAGCGCTGGATAGGTTACAATCACTTAGTTACTACCTACAGTTTCCAAACGGGATATTTGGCTAAAATTTCTGGTAGCAGATCATTTTAAATGAAATATTTACACATTGCTGGAACATGGGTTATAGAATTGTCTCTGAATTCACGTATCTTTTCGCACTCCATCACATAGTGACGGAGGCTGTACTCCATATCTGAGCAAACAACTAGAACTATTTACAGCAATGCTGTAACATCAAATTAATAACATCAAGCTGCCATTTCATCATTAAAATACAGAGTCTGGTCTCAACAAGAGGGACATAATCTGCTACTGTCAGATAGGCTCCGGTTCTCAATTCAGGATAAGTTATTAATTGTTTTAGAGCATAGATTGGCCAATTAGCATGCTTTCTAATAATAATACATCCATATATAAATTAAGAGTCGTTAGGCAGTGAGGCAACACCTCATCATCAGTAAGTTCTGACTTACTCATGCTGTAACTGAGCTTATATTGCTGAATATTTATATCTTGTGTAAATAATTCTTTACTATAACTTATCATATATTTAATTTCCTTATCCGTTATCTTAAAATTTTTTTAACAGCTCAGTAATGGGTGTAAATCTTGGGGTGGGGTGGGTGGGGGGGGATGAGGCGTCCATGATCCTTCACATAATCCCTAAAGGCACACACAGAGATCACACTAACGTAATGCAACAAATGATCAAATCCACAAGGGCCATGACGAGGAAGGTGCAGGACGCAGGTTCGAATCCTCGTCACGGCCCTTGTGGATTTGTCCCTGAAGGCATTTAGTACAGAATAAGAAGAAAGCTTAAACCTCTTACAGAGAAATAAAATTTCATCTTCTCCATAATTAGGTGGTATTTCATTAAGCCAGGAATCTTTTTCAAGGACACACATTTCACTTGGCAGTTATTTACATACACTTTAAAGTTCACAAGTTTGAGAGCCTTTCGTGGATGTTGTCGTGAACATACGGTACTGCTAATTGTTCACAAGACTAGTAAGAAACTGTTGATAATTAATGTAGACAATTTTCTTGTTGCTTTTTATGGTAATTCCTCCAAACTTCCCCTTTTCAATTCCCTCTTGAGCTTCTTAAGTTCTAGTTCCAGGTTTCTCTTTTAGTCTATACAATGACCTTATGCTCCGTTGAATCAGTTTATCAGCACACACAATCGAAGTAGTGCGTTTCTGTAGACACTCTGGCAGTAATCCAAGTTCATGCAACATGTTATACATTAGAGCTAAATCCAGTAGCAACTGTTATGAAGTTAGCTTTTTTCAACAGATCTTCATAGGTTTTTTTCTGAAACTTCCAAATCTTGTTTCAGCTTTCACTGCTTTTTCAAAATGAAAACAAAGTGCTTCATATGTCTATACTGCTGAAACCTACTTTATCCCCTCAGTATATATAGTAGTCGTGCATCTTGGCCTGTTCCACCGACCTGTGTTCGCTACTCTTGTAACTGTTTGTATGTATTCTTGCTCTTGTGTGGAATTGTTAAGGTTCGTAATTGAGATTAAATATAAGTAAATGGCTTTACTTTGAGACAAAGGTTTGTGTATACCCAGGTAGTGGGAGCGTGTTGCAGCGCCTTCCCCGGGAGATGGAGGGCGGGGGGAAGGTACAGGACTGGCCGCAGCTTGTGGCGGGACCCAGCTGCCCGCCGCGCTCCAGGGCCCTGGTCATCGCCTCTGTCGAGATTGTGAGTCTCAGTATTGACTAATTCCAATTCTTTAATAGTTTTCCAAAGCCAAAATTCATATAGCACTTACGTGTCAACTTACTACATCTGTTCCTCTTAACTATCATGGCGGCTTACTAAAAAATTTACGAGATCAGCCTTTTGTAAATACAGACTAAGCCGTCGTAATCGAGGATGGAAATAAATTTCTATCTATAAAATAGGATGTATGAATGTCGAAGGCCAGACACTTAGGGCTATAGCCTCGCCAAACTTTGCAGGGTGACTGATGGGTGTTGGGGGATTGCCATAAGGGGGTTGGGGTCAGATGTGTAATTACCTAAGTGTAGTTACATTATGAGAGCTACGCTCGTGGTGTCCCGTCTTCCCAGTACTCTTTGGCGTATAACGCTTTGAAACTACTGACGGTTTTGGCCTCCATCACCTTCTCAGTTAGCTTGTTTCAACCGTCTACCACTCTTGTTTGTAAAAGAAAACATTCTAATGTTTTTCGGCACCTCTGTTTTCTTAGCTTGAATCTGTGTTCTCTTGTTCGTGAAGTTTCTGGTTTCAGGAATTCCTCTTTCTCAATTTGGTCGATTTATGTTAGTATTTTGTAAGTGGTGATCATATCTCCTCTTTTTCTTGTATCTTCTAGTTTTGACATGTTTAACGCCTCTAGTCTTTACTCGTAACTCTTTGTTTTTCAGTTCCGGAAGCCATTTTGTTGCATGCCGTTGCACCTTTTCCAGTTTATGTGCTTCTTGAGATTTGGGCACCATACAACTGCTGCATATTCCAGTTTTGGTCTCACAAAAGTCATGAACAGTTTCTTCAGTATTTCACCATCCATATAATTAAGAGAAAGTCTGAAGTTGGGAAGCGACGCATACGCTCCTCTCACAATATTCTTTGTGTGTTCCTCTGGCGACAGCTTACTATCCAACCTCCCAACCCCAGATCTCGTTCTTTATTAGAGGTCTGTAATTCCTTTCCACATAATTCGTACGTTGTGTGTGGTCTATTTTCTCCGATTCTAGTTTCCATAACATGACATTTATTCACATTGAATTCCATTTGCCACTTGACGTTCCAAGCACTTATTTTATCTAGAGTGATTTGAAGGTCATTACAATAATGTGTGTGTGTGTATGCGTAGTGTAGATGGTAACAGTCATGAAAGTCGCGTGTAGTGTAGATGTAGCCTACGTTTTTCACTCAAGCAGCGCTGGGTACCCAGCTAAAAGTCCATAAAGGGACAAATCAATGCTATGTGAATCCTGGTAGAAGAGAACATTGCTAGTCGCATCATCTCCAACACAGACTCGATGTAGTATTTATCATTCAGTTTAAAATAAAATTTTGATGATATCAAAGTTGCAGGTTTTGCAGATGCTGCCTAGCAAGATCTGCATCGTATTGTTATGCTTATCAAGCATTTAGTTAAAACTAAGCCATACTGGGTTGACTTGATCCTCTGATGGCAACACAGCAGCGCACCATTGGCTCTAAGGACGGAATATGATTGATTGGAATGGTTTCATTTACATGATTGGAATAAGATAATTTTGAGTGCGTGGGGAGCCACAATGTGTGAAATGTATCGCCAGTATTTCTTCCATTCACATTCACAATAATTTTTACAAATCCTTGATATCAAAACAGCCGTGTCAGCCAAGTGGGTCCGCCCCCTGTTAGGCCTGCGGGCTCTAACACGGTCTGTGCCTCAGGCTTCACTAATATCTATTCAGAAATAGCTTATTGTTGAATTATTGAATGCTACATGAATTATTGTTGTTCCTATCATTATCATCAATATTATTGGTGATACTAACTATAACAACAACAAGAGCAACAACTGCTGCAAAATAGAAAACCAACAATGCCTGAAACGCTTTGCGTATTAGTGGCTTTCGGTATCTAAAGCTACTAATACGCATTAGTGGCTTTAGGTATCTTAGGTACCTCTATCTATAAATCCAACATTATGTTTGTAACTCTTCAGCAATTTATGTACTTTTACCTGTATAAAAATTTGAATTTTGAATTTTTGAATTTTGAATTTGAAAAAACTAAACTGTTTTAATAATAGAAAACCAAAGCTTCTAATGTATTACTTTTTATCCTGCCAGGTTGTTCTCGTTCTCTTCCTAGTGTTCTTGGGATACAGAACCATCTTCTCCAAACACAATGGTAAGCACCAGGTAGTGTGTTAGGTAAACATTGACAACTGAAGAACACTCGTGTAAACAATGTCCAGCAGTGTCTGATGGGTGTATCACGACTACATCTCACAGTTCAAGGAGTGCCGGACCAACCAGGCTGTGGTGGGTATGTGGGCCTGCGGGCCGCTCCAAGCAACAGCCTAGTGGACCAAACTCTCACAAGTCAAACTTGGCCTCGGGCCGGGCTTGGGAAGTAGAAGAACTCCCAGAACCCCATCAACCAGTTCTGTCTATTTAAAAAGCCAAGACACCACTCAGTCTTTATGGTAATATTTGTTGTCTGAAGTTAAAATTCCAATTTTAACTAATATAATTCGTATGTTTAACTTTTATATTCGTAAATATAAGTATAAATATATATATCAACGCGAGTACGGTGTCTCTCCGTATGGCAGCATATAGCCATAGTTGTGGGAGCGTACAGCTAACACATTCATTACACCATTATGAAAAAACCTGTGCAGCGGTGACTGACGGACTTGTTTTGATGCAAAGGTCCGATGCTGGAGGTCGTGGCCATCTCGGTCTCTGCAGTGATCCACCTGGTTGTTGGTATTCTACTGCTGCACGCTGCTCGCCAAGTAGGTCTCTGCTTGCACCTGTTTGTGTCTCTCTTTATTTATGAATACTCGTTGTATATATTTAGTTATATAAGTTAACAAAATTAAATTAGATATATGTTTAACTATGTGGCCACTGTAGATATATATTATTGCTAAATAATATATTGCTGAAGGTATATATCTGAACGGATACCTAAAACGAAGATAAATTGTTTTTATATAGTTTCCAACTCAAAGATGTTCAAGAAGCAAAACTTTATGTGAATAACACGGGTGAAGACATACATGTGTACACATCAGTACGTTAATGTTGGGGTTGCACTCTATGTTTCTCTCTCTTCATCTACTTGGTCTGGTCGATGGAGCGAAGGCTTAGCTTCTTACAAGAGCGGTATTCGATTCCCGATGGTCCAAGCGATTGGGCACTGTCCTTATATCCTAGCTGATTGATTGATGAAGATTGGGCCACCAAAGAGGTGGCACGGGCATGAATAGCCCGTAAATATCGTAGCTGTTTGTCCTCATCTTCCCTGCTCAGAGCTTAGTACTGGCATAGCACTCTCTTCTCTGAATTTTCTCAAAATCTTCCCTCTTTCTCTTTTGGGAGAGAGAAGAAAGAAAGAAAGGGGAAAAAGAACAGTCACAGTGAAGAACCTGAAAAACAAGGCGGAAAAGGCGAACTCTGTAACGTTAAATACATATTAATACAAAGCTACACATATCACAGGTAAAGGCCGATACGAGTCATGACAATTCTCTTGACTAATAATGGCTGGCACCCTCAGCTGGGGGAGAGGCGCGGGGTGGTGGTGGTGTGGGCGTGGGCGTGGGTGAGAGTGGTCCTCCTGGCCACAGATCTCGCTATGGTGCTGGTGCAGACGGTCGCAGGGAGAGACCCCATCATATCTACCTGCATCCTCGCCTTCTGCGTCGTCTCCGTCAGCAACATTATTGTCGTCAGATACTTCGTCCTCAACGTGAGTGCTAGTCGAAAAGTGTTTGGAAGGTTATCTTGAGTCTGAGATAAGGTAGGTAGTCAACTAAGGTAGTCTGTCAAAGTTAACTTTTAAATAAACACGGCATTGTGGATTACATTTTATAAGAGGTGGTTGAAGGGGTGGATTACATCCATATGGTGCTCAAGAGGTGATTTAAAATTTCAGTTGGGTACCAGTTAGGTACTTCGAAGATCCATATTGTGAGCATCTTAGCCTGGTTGGTAGGATAACGGACTTGAGTTCAAATCTTATTGCTTTTTGTGAAACTAGATTTTATTACATCGATAACTATTTGTCAACTAACAAAAATATTATACTTATTAAATGGAGAATCGCACTTATTATTGAATGGGAAGCAAACAATTCTTAAGAACAAACTCAGAGACAAGTATTTTGTGTCCCCAGCACCTGGAGCCTGTCGATGGCAGGAGACCGGGAAGCACACACCTGCAGGGAAGACCGGGAAGCACACACCTCTAGTGAAGACCGGGAACCACACACCTGTAGTGAAGACCGGGAACCACACACCTGTAGTGACGACCGGGAACCACACACACCTGTAGTGAAGGCCGGGAACCACACACACCTCTAGTGAAGACCGGGAACCACACACACCTCTAGTGAAGACCGGGAACCACACACCTGTAGTGAAGACCGGGAACCACACACCTGTAGTGACGACCGGGAACCACACACCTGTAGTGAAGACCGGGAAGCACACCTGCAGGGAAGACCGGGAAGCACACACCTCTAGTGAAGACCGGAAACCACACACCTCTAGTGAAGACCGGAAACCACACACACCTGTAGTGAAGACCGGAAACAGCACACACCTGTAGTGAAGACCAGGAAGCACACACATGTAGTGAAGACCGGGAACCACACACCTGTAGTGACGATCGGGAACCACACACCTGTAGTGAAGACCGGGAACCACACACCTCTAGTGAAGACCGGAAACCACACACACCTGTAGTGAAGACCGGGAAGCACACCTGCAGGGAAGACCGGGAAGCACACACCTGTAGTGAAGACCGGGAACCACACACCTGTAGTGAAGACCGGGAAGCACACACCTGTAGTGACGATCGGGAACCACACACCTGTAGTGAAGATCGGGAACCACACACCTGTAGTAAAGACCGGGAAGCACATACACCTGTAGTGAAGACCGGGAACCACACACCTGTAGTGAAGACCGGGAAGCACACACCTGTAGTGACGATCGGGAACCACACACCTGTAGTGAAGACCGGGAACCACACACCTGTAGTGAAGACCGGGAACCACACACACCTGCAGGGAAGACCGGGAACCACACACCTGTAGTGAAGACCGGGAACCACACACACCTGCAGGGAAGACCGGGAACCACACACACCTGTAGTGACGACCGGGAAGCACACACCTGTAGTGAAGACTGCACATCTTTGCACAGTCAGCTGTGTGGAGCATGGACTGTGTATGTCTGATTATTTACGCTGGATGAACTGTATGTTAAGTTGTCACTTGACTACATATGATGCGCATGACTGGCATCATATGTAGTTAAGTGACTATGACTATGACTATGACACCGCATGACTATGTGGTGTGAGAAATAAGCCTAACCTGACTATACAAGGTGTATGTTTAGTCTACTGTATTATTGGATGTATTATTTCTGTTCTCCGATGTATTTTATCAGAATAAAGTTTAATAAAATATGTACTTTACCGTTGTTGTTGTTGTTTTAGATTCAGCTACTCGGAACAAAAGTTGCAAGTAGCACGGGCTATGGTGAGCCCGTAGTGGACGTGTATTTTACCATTTTTATTTTAGCATATTTGCAAAAAAATCCTTCTGGTGGTAGTACATATGTTATTGTCACGTTCAGACGTGAGGGAAACAGCAGCAAACGTAACATTTATGCTAAAAAGTTTCCCAAAGTTAGAACTAACTATTAGGAGCGTTGTATAATAATTTGTTTTATCGGGGACAGGCAGCCTGTGTATATACTTTAGGTTTGATTTGATTGTTGCCGCCGAAGGCGGCTAGTTTATTGTGCACCCCATACTCATCCTGTGAGCGGTAGCGCAAAAGCATTACAGAGGGCACAAAAGGTCTTTATCAGACCTCATCTTAGATTATTACATAAACAATTTCATCTATCCTTCACACCTTATAGTAACAATGTCAGCTAGTTACAGAGAAAGTGCTATTACAAGAGTTACATATTTACAGTAAGTTATCATACATTAATGGTAGGTCTGATCGCTAATACATAATAGTTTGACCAATGGGGATATTACAGAGTCATAGGGGAGCTTCTGTTTATTATTAGTCCTCACAATACACTACTTGTTTCTGAATCTCATATGTCGTTCATCTACTGGAAGCGAAATGTGGGTACAGTACAAGGATTTCAGGTAATTTATCCATGGTAATAAGATAAATTGCCATATCATACAGAGTGAGCTTAGATTTATCTCTAAAAGGCTCAATTTTACTACAATCCAAGATATAGTGTTCGAGTGTGTCCCTGTCTTTGTCCACACACTTTACACTTTACTTCATCTAGATCCCTATACAAGCCGAACTGCCAGAGATACTTGTAGCCAAGTCTTATACGAGCTGTGGCAACATCTGTTAGTCTACTGACTTTGTTACTTGCCCCATACACATGTTTTACTTCACACATTTCATTGTGATGAACAATGGACCTGCTAGTTCCAGTTTGCACTGTTCTACTTTCTTCAAATTCATCCAAGAGTTCTCGTCTAATGACACTTTTAAGGGACCTATTTGATAACTCAAGATTCCGTTCAATACTGTCTTTATTTACTGCAGCCTTAGCAAGGGCGTCAACTTTGTCATGTTCCTGCATGCCAATGTGAGAAGGAATCCACAACATTTTTATATTTACCCTCTTGCTAAGTATTCTTATATATCTACGTCTAGCTTCCAAGACAAGCACGTTATTACTTGATTGCAAACTGTTTATTGCTAGTAGTGAGGATAGGGAGTCAGAAATAATTAAGCTGTCTACTTCAGTGTTGTCAATAATTTCGAGTGCTACCAGTATCGCTACCAACTCGGCTTGCATTGTGGACGCCCAGTTACTAATTCGGATATTCCTTTGAATTGTGCTGCCATCGGGCTGATGAGCAATAACAGCACTTCCTGCCCTCCCTGTAGCTGTATTGAGTGATCCGTCAGTGTATATGGTCTGTGCAATGTTGTTTTCAGCTTGTATATTGTGAATGTGTTCTATGGTGCTTAATTTAGCAGCAAGCTGAGCATGAGGGTTGTTTGTGATTAGTTTCTTGGTGGGGTATGCAGGGGTCAGGATGTCAAAAGGTACTATCTGCCAGGGTGGAAGGAAGTGCTGTACTCTTTCATCTGTATATACATCGTGCAGTCCCATCATTTTAACATGAGTGGCTGTTCTTTAAATCCATTTAGACTCGCTAGTTCCATTTCGTATGTGTTCTAACAGTGCAACTGACACAATGTTGTTTTTGTTATCACGCTGAAGCTTTAGTCCCACCATAAGATTAATTTCAAATATCCTATCTCTAATGCTAAGTATATTTAATTCTTTCCGCATGTTGAGAACTTTGGTAGTTATAGGACAGCCAAGTATAATTCTAAGTGCTTCATTTTGCATTTTTTCCAGTCTATCAATACTTTTGCCATTTTGCAGGACCAAAGCTGGTGCATGATAGTCTATCAGAGACCTTATATACGCTAAATACATCATTCTTGCTATTCTAATATTAACACCATATTTCGGGCTGTACCCCACTACAGTTCTGAGAGCCTTGAGTCTGTCTCTATATTATTGATGTAACTTATTGACTGCAGTTGAGGTACAAGGGACAGAAACACCAAGGTATTTGAAAGAAGAGACATAGTCTATTGGTATGTTATCTATCTTAAGTTTTCGTGGTCCACTTTTGCGGTTGCCAATTTGTCTGTTAAATACCTTTTTTAAATATGCCTTTCCAAGGCTGATTCGACCAGTTGCTTGTAATGGAACGGAACGGTTCTTGCATTGAAAAAAATTAAGTGAAGCCCCACTTTTCAGGTGAATTTTTACCACCAATGCTATTTTGGCTTACCTGCATCTACTGAATATTTTTCCAACATATCTTCGGCACTTTTAATTGTTTTAACTATCGACAATTCATCCAGGCCCGCGAAGAAAATTCCCACCTTTTCCATGAGATCCTTACCGCATAGCTAGGATTATGTGAATCCACTACATAAAAATACTGAACAATTTCTTAGCAGTTACAGCCTACCTTTGCTGACACCTTGCCATAGACCTTAATTGGTACATTATCGTATGCACTTAAATGATTTTCTACCGGATTTTACATTCAATTGCAAGGTATCTGCCCAATATCTAGACAATGTTAACACAGCAGCACCAGTGTCCAGTTCCAAGGGAACTAACTTCCCATTAATTACAAAATTCACCACTTGCGACTTCACCTAACATAATCTGCTTTCCTCACCTGCAGCTTCTTCAGACGGTTTACCTTCCTCTACTGCCTTGACCACAGTACCACTACCTCTTCTTCCTGCATTCCCTGGTCGTCTCCTCTCCAAAGCCTTGCTATTTCTGTTTGTTTCCTAAGTATTCTCTGCACATTTTGCTCAAGTGCCCTTCCTTGCCACAAAAGTTGCATATGTAGTCCTTAAACTTGCAGTTGCTACTGCTGTGATTGTACTCACAGTGTTTACATCTTGTCTGGCCCTGTACGACCATAATTTCTTGGGTAGTAGATTTTTACTTCCAAAAGCCCTTTCCAGGTTCAAAATCTTCTCTAGTACTGTCAGTGAAGTCATCGATTGTAGATCCACGTTTTCTGCCACCAGGTTAGGGGTAAATATCTCATTTTCTATTGCCTGAACAACTGGTCTCTCACCCGACCATCAAACTGTGCTCCAAAGTTGCAGAGGTTAGCCAATGCCATCAATTCCACATATGAATCCTGTAAGGATTCCTGCTGCTTATTCGTCCTCTTCTGGAAATCATTCAAACTTCTGTGATATGAAGGTTTCACTACATAATGACGTTTAAGCAGGGCAATCAGGTCTTCATAGGTCTTCGTGTGGGGTATCGCTGGTACACACAGGTTACCCAGGACACTATATACTTCTGTACCCAGTGAAACTAAGAGTACCGCTTTCTTGTTTGCGTCCTCCTTAATCTCACGGTTACTGGAAGTTTGCTTCCAGCAGGCTCAGCCATAGGTCCAACGAGATCTTGGATGCATTAGATGGCGCCATTAAGATTAGCGCTGGGGCAGCCATGGCCACGATGGGTTGCACAACTCACTGTTGTCTTAAATTTCTCAACCCATCCACACGACGTACTCTGCTGATCCTCACAAGACAAAATTAGAGAAGATTCAGCGGTATGCCACCAGACTCGTCTCGGAACTACGAGGAAAAGCTGAAGGAGTTCAACCTCACATCCCTGGAAAACAGAAGAGTAAGGGAAGACATGATAACCACCTACAAAATTCCCAGGGAAATTGACAGGGTGGACTAAGACACCCTGTCAAAACTCTTCAGCACGGGTGGAACACGAACAAGGGGGCTCAGGTGGAAACTTTGTACCCTAATGAACCAGAGACATCAGAAAGTTTTTTTTCAGTGTCAGAGTAGTTAACAAATGGAATGCATTAGGCAGAGATGTAGTGGAGGCTGACTCCATACACAGTTTTAAATGTAGGTATGATAGAGCCCAGTAGACTCGGGAATCTGTACACCAGTTCATTGACGGTCGAGAGGCGGAACCAAAGAGGCAAAGCTTAACCCCCGCAAGCAAAACTAGATGAGTACACCTCGTCTTGTACCCGGGCTCTCCGTCTTAGGTGTTAATAATCCATAATCCTTGTCGCCACTGTTAAGTGTCGGCCCGTAAGAGAAACAAACTTCCTCCTCGTGCTTTATTATGAACAACAAATAATGACGTCTCAGATATACGTTACATGACTTACTATTTACAATTCTTATAAACAAAAGAGCATCTGTTCAAAACATGTTACACCTAAGTAGTACTTAATCCTACAAAATACCTAATCCTAACAGGAATTATCTGACACACTAGGCTGCACTAGTAGTTGTCGTTAAGACTAAAAACATGGAAATATCTTTTAAAAATTGTTGAGTGAGAGAAATAATTACATAGATTCATATATCATATTTCATTTGGCCGAAAATATTTGGTAATTGGACAATGGCTAACATAATGTTGAGGAGTTTATCTTAGCGTTTAAACATTTTACAATTCGAATGCTCAATATTGGCCTGGTGCCTCCTCCTGGTGGATGCTTACTTTACCTGTAGATGCCTGCCATATGTAATCATATCCCATAACTAAATGACACTCGGCTCGAGTATGCAGAATACATCACGGCTGACGCGACGCACTTGATACGCATCCTGCAAGTGGCGAGACGTAAACAGGTAATGTCATCCCAGCGACAACTGGTAACTACAGCTAGTGTTGTCTACAGCTAAGTGTCGACTCCCTAGACGTGGCCCTGCCAACTCAATATGTCTGTCCTTTATATTTAAAAAATTAATTTAGTTATATAATCTGTAATTTACCGCTATAATCCGTAATGAAGAGGCTGTTCATAAATAGTTAAGATATATTTTCAGTCGTATTGTGACCTTCTGCAACTCTTGCAGCAAGCTGGATGGCAAGGATGGTTTTCCCACTGATGCTGTGTGTCAGTTAATGCAGTGGGTGCTTCATGCAGTAGATAGACCTGGCGAGTGCTCACTCTGTGGCAGGCGTCGCCAGGCTCCTGTAATCATCGTCAGGAACATTGCTTCGTTGAAGTCGAGAGCATTGTAAATTTAACGTTGGCAGTGACAACAGACCAGGTTAGTGTAAGCACAGTCGTCCTATCAGTGGTTTAGCCTTGAAGGGACTGGAACCTGTTCCACATACAGGAAACTCACACACACTCTTTTTAGTAAAGCTTAAGCTTACTGGTTCGTCGACGATATTGATTATTATTTTGAACATGTTAATCTTTACTAAAGCCTTTGATGCATACTCCTCTCAACGTGTGAATATTTTGTTTGTATTTTTTTTCTTGCAAATATTTAAACATTTCTTTCCGTAGCTGCGTCCTTATATATGTTGTTTTTGTGAAGCAGCCATGAGAGCACTAGTGCAGGATGTGCACTGCTGCTATCACTTATCACCGCAGTCACCATGACGTGCTCGTGAAAAATCAAATGCAGCCTATTTAACCTAATTAAACAAATTATTATGCCCAAAACGGTTGGGATGTGTTCTACACATGTCGACACGTGTCTGTCTGTCTGTCTGTTAATTAGAATTCGCCTCCAAAACCTCTCAGCCGGCTAAGCGAAACTGTAGGAGGCCATTTTGATGTCCAGGCGTTAGGGGCGGTATCCACCAGTCATCAATATCGAGATATGTTTGTAAATCACAATACACTTGGGTGTAAATTATGATAACTATATCACAACATACACATTTGTTACCTGTTGTTTGGTCATACAACTCCAATGTGATGTTCCTCTCTTACTAACCTTCTCAAAACCGCCTTAAAGTTGTAGATGGAGGAGGCTGCCACGACTTTTTCTTTCAGTGCAAACATGGTGATTCACGCCGCGAATAGCCACTGTGTATGTAACAAGTGTATTGTTGATAGCAACTAATATCTGTGTATGTGCTGGAGATATATATATATATGTGTATATATGCAATTGTTCAGTGATACAATAATGTGTAAGTAGTGTCATATACGGGGTGATTCACACCGGTAGTAACTAATATTTGTGTTGGTGGTGGTGCAGGTGTGGTTGTTCATGATGGTAGTAAATACAGGTACTGTCCTTTTACAGTTGGTGGAGTTGCTTGGGTGCGGCGGCTGCCCGGCACCTGAGGCAGTGACCACCTGAGAGAGATGGCGCCTCACTGCAAGTGTTCCTGCTCAATACGGATAGCTACCTTTGTTGTGACTTCCCTGGAGCTGGTAAGTGCCTCCCCACCCAACTGATTACCTGGCTGGCCTTGCCTCTGACTTGCATAGACCTTATGAGTGGCTTTCGAAGCACCCAATCATCTCACCGGCCTTGATTGCGATTTACAAAGAGATGATGATTGATTGATTGACCTAAGCAATCACCTGACCGACCATGATGTAGCTTACAGTTATGCACGAATCAACCATTCAACTTATTATTTCTATATTGTACACCAAACAGGGGCCATCTTCAACCAATATTATTTCGAACAGAAAGAAATAAATGTATCAGAGTAAGCTGTCTCTCCCTTATGCAATAAAGATATGAAGTTTTCAGATTCCCTACTGCACTGATGTATATATTTGTGTGATATTGTTGATAGTTGGTGGGTGGCGGAGTCTCAAGTGTACTTGTGTGTGTTATAGGTCATTCTCACCGCTGCCTTCTGTCTCCTGGTCGCTCTCAGCAAGTTGTCACGCTTGGGTCAGTAATTATCTTTTGAGTGTGTTAATATTTTCAAGGATATACGTCGTTATATTTGGGATTAATATTCATGAGAATAAGTTCGGAACATAGATTAAAAGGATGACAAAAAAAGATTAACGTTGCAAACTTTGTGGACAAAAATACTTTGTCTAGTCTTTCCTATAATTTCAGTATAATTAAGACTATTTGTTTAATAATACTTCTAATCAACACAAGTTTTTTGCATGAATAACCCTACTCGAAAACAAAACAAAACTCCAAAGAACTATAATTTCTCTAACCATGCAGATTCCACCATCGATCATGTGATATCGACGACATCGGCCTTCGCCCTGATCAATATAGGACTCTCCTGCATTCTTATCTATGGCACCAAGAAAGTGAGTGGAGAGTCCGGTTCGATCTCATTGTATAACCTCAATATTTCCTCATAGATACGTTATTGCAATGTCATTGCGCAGAAGGTAAGTGAGAGTGTGGGCGGCACTACCTCCCGGCGCCCACTACATCAACTAGCTCGTCTCTCTAGCAACATAAGTATAGAGGAAACTACGGTAGGCCCATTGGCTGGCAGGAGGCAACTCCTGTTTATAGCCAACGAAACCCCGCTCATGTATATGTCTAACCATCGCTTGAAACAATCCAGCCAGCGATCCCACGTTATTGTGTCACCCGATAATTTTTAACACAAATCTGCAATTCTTCTCCCAAACCAGTATTTACTCAGGTCTTTTTTTAATTATTCAAGTCTTTTTTTTAATTTAAACTTATCCCATTTGTATTCATTGTTTTCTGTTCTGTTTTGTTTTTATTAAGCACCCTATTAATATCCTCCTTGTTAGACCATTTATTTGCAGACCTCACATCTGTCTGATTACATGTTACAGGTAACTCATCAGTTATATCATGCATTCGGAGACCAATATGGGAAGGAATCCACAGGAGACTAACTCTTAGTTCATCAATAATTATTCCACGTCTGTGTCTAGCTTCTGAAACAAGCACTTAACAGTTACGAAAAATTATAATTTGTTTTATTTTATTTAATTGAGCAGTGATAACATAATCTGGGATTTCAACACTGCAGAAGTTGCTGAACATATTGCGAGGATGGCTGTGGGTGCGTGTGACCCTCCTGGCTACCGTGGTCATGATGGTGATCCTGGCACAGAGAACTGACGGAGTAGACCACGCTCACACCTACCCACCTGTAGTGGCCACTATACTCATACCTACTGCTTTGGCTGTCGCCAACGCATTCGTAGTGCGGTATTACATTGTTGCAGTAAGGACCAGTTATTTTATATGACGAATAAATAATTTAATGGCTCAAAGCTGTATGCTGAGTCTGGGGATACAGTATAATCTTTGTTATCCAAGTGATAATACCTTTCTTTCGCTAATGTGCAGGGGTTTGAGATTAATGTTTATATTTTTGTATACAACATTAAGGTGAAGAATTTGTACAATAACTGAGAGTGAAAGTTGAAGTGTAACCTTTCCTCCCTGGAAATATAAGAGTTAGCCTAATGCTTCCTTAGACAAAGATTTTTCCTTCACTTGCAGCTCGATGCCGAGGAATCCCAGATTCGAGGCCTAGAAATGGATACCCAGAACTACAGTCGCCTGAGGGACGAGAACATTGCTTGACACTTACGCTCAACTAAATTCCACCAATTTGTTCTGGAATTAAATTAAGACATGCAAACTTATAAGTGTTTCCCATATGTTAGACTTAACAATTTTGTAAATATTTGTTCCCTCTTGAAAGTCTTACATTAGACTTATTACAATCACACATAGACCATATTGTACAACTTACTAAGAATTTGTAATATTCCCGTTGTTAGGGCCAATAAACCTTGGTATACATAAGTATATATATATATAGAAGTGTATATATATATATATATATATATATATATATATATATATATATATATATATATATATACATATATATATATATATATATATATATATATATATATATATATATATATATATATATATATATATATATATATATATATATATATATATATACACACACACACACACACTTCGTTCAGTATGAACCAAACTGTCTCAATAAACTCTCTTCAAGCTTATGATTAGGTAACGTATGTACTCCACTTCTTTCCCTCACAACCCCTCATATCATACTGTATCGCTCTCACAACTAAAATGCATCTATCATTTCCCGAAAGTGCATATCAAATTGGAAAAAGAGAGTGTCTATGATTACAATCATCATAACCACCTTAAACTTTTTGTAATTGCATTTCACACACAACCATCATTCAGTACTTTCATTTGAAGTCATTCGTTGCACCGTATCGATCTTCATTCATCGTACCGTACCGGTCTTCATTCATTGTATTGTACCAGTCTTCATTCATTAACAGGTCTATTGCTATCTCTCTCTCACTCCCACAGTCTTTCACCTCCTTGAAATATTGTTATCCTTTGCTATATGGTCGTAATGGCTTGGCGCTTTCCGCTGATAGTTCCCTCCCTCCCACAATACTTAGGCTATTCGCCTTTTTACTCTCACTAATCTTCGTCTCACATTAATCAGCCACAACTAACATTTCTTGATAATAAACTTTCCCCACTTCTTTAATCTGTTGTTGTTATTTTATTTAAAGTTTGTAAATAGCCTCATGATCCTAATAATTAGTTAGTTTAGTTCATTTATTATGTACCCCATACCCATCTTGTGGGCGGTAGTGGAAAGGGTTACAGAGGCACATAATGGGCTCAGGGAATAATGTAAATTACCTTATTTTGTGTTAACTTCTACCAATGTTGGCAACGTGAAAAATGTGGGACATATTTTGTGACAATTTTCTCATCTAATTTTCTAAATATTCTCAATAAATTGTCTGATCATCCTCCTGTTATTTTTATATAATCGTTTTAATTATTATATAAACTTAGTTTTTATTTTCAAGAATTTAAGTAATATATGATCGACTAATGTGTTTAAACACAAGAGTCAGAGGGATATATTTACAGAAGTATATACCCTGCTTATCAGTGTATATTCTATACAGTGAGAGTTTTCCTTAATCCCAGGACTATGTTCGGGACTTACGTATTTTTGTTGGTTGGTAAGTAAGCTGTTGTTGCCTCTTAATTATCCTCCAGAGGTTGATACAGGCGTTAAACCCAGCACCAAACTAAATAGCTTAATATAAGACATAAACACCGATAATTCTATCCCATTTAGTGGTGAACATTCACAAAATTTACTTATGTCCTGAACTAAAGTAAACTTACTGGTTGGTCCTAACCAATCGTGTTAAAGACATGAATTACTAGTATCGTTATTGTGAATCCTGTTTTCATATATCCTTTCCACACATACCTTAATAGTTAAAAGTCTAGATTATGGTCAGTAATTATCAGAGACAACGTGTATCTGCAACAAGATATTCAAAAACCTTCAATTGTGTCCTGATAATAAAAGTACTTTGTGTTAGTTATCCTTCAAATTATAGCCTCATGATTCTATTTTTCCACTCTTTGTTTTTGTTTCTGCCAGTATATGTCTGAGCGGTCAAGTGCAAGCTGGAAGTCTGTTTACGTGCTCTATCTAGGCCTGTCTTATCAAGCCACTACTGTAATGATTTGTATAAATCACCGACGATTAAAGCTTCAGAATCTAGCATTTGAAAATATGAGTACTCATAATACCTGCCCGAAACGCTTTGCGTAATAGTGGCTTTAGGCATTGTATGTACTAGCTCTATCTATAAAGCCAACAAACTTTGTAAATCTCTTTATGTATGTACCTTACCTAAATAAAGATTATTATTATTATTATTATTATAAGGTAGTAGTCTCAAGGCTTGGTCTCTCCGGATGTGGCGGTTTGCGATTAGGTTACCTCACTTCACAACTGTTAATGTGGGAATTTGTATAAGATTATTTTCGCGTAATTTCATGTTAATTATATTTTTGTCTGTAAGGACACACCGAGGGACGGGAAGATAGGTAGCTGAGTAGCCTTCACGCCTTTTTTTTTATTAATACATTTGGAACATCTGCATTTGTGCAGCTACCCTAGACTATATGAAAGGGAGTACAGTGTGTCAAGAAGCTAGCTACGTGATGCTAAAAAATCCCCATCACACAGGTTGGTTAGTCGAACAGAGACATGTGATACGTAGTCTGCACTGGCAGACTCTGGGAGCATTATGAGGATATTATGAACACAAGAGTGAATATGGCAGCAGTGATAATAAAAGTCCCCATCCCGCAGGATGGTTAGTCATACAGGGCCATATGTTTAGTAGCCTGCACTGGCAAATTTTGGGTATACTGTGAGGATATCTTCAAAAACACGAGAGTGAATAAAGTAACTGCAAAGCTCCAGGTACCTCATGCCAACTGGTCTGAAAGGTCTAATAACTGGGCATTCGGTGATGTAGTGTGGGAGATCATGTCGCAGTTCCTGCTCACAGAGTTTGCACCTGGAGTGCTCAGGATTGGGAGATCCGTCACCTGAAGCCACCTGCCACAGGTAACGATAACCCAACCTATTCCTGGCAACCACTGTGTCGCACAGTCTGGTCGACGTTTTGTGCTGCCCATAGATATAGGTTTCAGATTTGAACATCACGCCCTGAGGTATATTACCTGGCCCACCTGGGTGGTTTTGACGTGTGTTTGGCAACTACGTGATGTTTATTATTATTATTATTATTTTTCTACCACAGACGTGGCCACACATTTACAATCCTAACCAGCATATATACACGTGATGGTGTCTGGCAATTCCATAATATATGATTATAGTTTCTCCTTGAAAATTTGTATAAATAAATATGACAAAATGTATAACCAAATAAATAAAAAGTAAAAATTCTATATAAAGTACAAAATAATATGTAAAAAAAGACCTTCTATAAAAACTAATATAAATGATTTGTATTTGTTGTACGCAACCCATCCTCAGACCAAGTTCATTCCATCCAGCTGTTGACCCCAACGACGCATTCATGAATTTTAACATGCTATTAATTCCAAATATTAATTTTCTGAAAAACAAATTATTATTGTTATATATTAGCATACTGTGCATATTTAGGCATTGGTTAGGTTAGGTGTTAAGGTTCTGTTGGCGATTATTTGTATTCGTAGTACATGGGTGAAGCATTTACAACCCGTCCTCACAGTAGGCTGTTTAAAGCAGCGGCCGTCCTCCTCAGACGCATTCATCAATTTTAACATACTGTTTATTAAAAATTGGTTTGTTCTAATATATAAATTAATTGTATTATACGTAAAAAGTCTAGTTTGGCGTAGGTTCGGTGTTTTAGGTTCTGTTGGCGATTATTTGTATTTGAAGTACGTGGGTGAAGCATTTATAGAATTGTGGTTCGAACTGAGGACGCAATCGAAGCACTTGTTCCGGAAGTGTTCGGATGTCATCAGTTGTGAGACGTGTGTAAACAGCTTTCCATTCATAAACCAGCCTGTCCTCCAAACAAAGAACCAAAAATGATTCCGTCCACCCGCCAAACCCCCTGTTTATGAATGAAAAATGGTTTACACACGACTCACAACTGATGACGTTCGAACACTTCCGGAACAAGTGCTTCACTGACGAATTTTTTCTAACCACAACGCTGTAAATGCTTCACCCACGTACTACAAATACAAATAATTGCCAACAGAACCTAAACACCTAACCTAACCTATCCCTATATATCCACAATATGCTAATATATTATAATATTAATTTATATTTGAGAAAATTCCCGTTTTGAATGAACAGCATGGCCAAATTTATGAATGTGTCTGTGGGGGGGGGGGAGGGTCGACCGCTGGATGTAATGGACTTGAGTCAAGGACGGATTGTTGTTTAGAAGACGGGCTGCGATCGCTGGAAGGAATTGACTTGGTCTGAGGACGGGTTGGAGTGAAAGGGGTAGCTCTTGGCTTCACACTGCTCTCATATTGTGGAAGACGCAAATTGGCTAAGAAGCAAACCTGTTCGGTAAGTTATACCCATATTCTCCCAGACGATGTTTAAGTCGAAGTGAGGTGTCGCCCACGTAACGAGCGTTACGACTCGAACATTTAATTTCTTGATAAAGACCCCACTGTAGTTACTATACCGTGATGCTGCTTATGGCTTCTTGTAGCAATGCTATTGTCTGTGTCTGTCAGCAATAAAGCTGATATTTGTATCTGGAAAAGTGTTTGCACCTTTCATCCAAGGCATTGCTTGTGTACGCCGGTAGTTATTACGAACGTTGTGCTCGCAGCTAGAGAACGGTCCTAGGTGTGTCTGTAGACGCAGGTGGGACCAATACCATAGTTGTCGTCCCATAATCAACAACAATAACAACAGGTGGAATCAAACCACTGACGGCAGGTGTGCGAGCACATGTTCTTATGACCTGCCACTACTCTAACACCTGGTGACAGCCCTGCCACTACTCTCACACCTGGTGACAGCCCTGCCACTACTCTCACACCTGGTGACAGCCCTGCCACTACTCTCACACCTGGTGACAGCCCTGCCACTACTCTCACACTTGGTGACAGCCCTGCCACTACTCTCACACCTGGTGACAGCCCTGCCACTACTCTCACACCTGGTGACAGCCCTGCCACTACTCTCACACCTGGTGACAGCCCTGCCACTACTCTCACACCTGGTGACAGCCCTGCCACTACTCTCACACTTGGTGACAGCCCTGCCACTACTCTCACACTTGGTGACAGCCCTGCCACTACTCTCACACTTGGTGACAGCCCTGCCACTACTCTCACACTTGATGACAGTCCTGCCACTACTCTCACACCTGGTGACAGCCCTGCCACTACTCTCACACCTGATGACAGCCCTGCCACTACTCTCACACTTGATGACAGTCCTGCCACTACTCTCACACCTGGTGACAGCCCTGCCACTACTCTCACACTTGATGACAGTCCTGCCACTACTCTCACACCTGGTGACAGCCCTGCCACTATTCTCACACCTGATGACAACCCTGCCACTACTCTCACACTTGATGACAGTCCTGCCACTACTCTCACACCTGGTGACAGCCCTGCCACTACTCTCACACCTGATGACAGCCCTGCCACTACTCTCACACTTGATGACAGTCCTGCCACTACTCTCACACCTGGTGACAGCCCTGCCACTACTCTCACACTTGATGACAGTCCTGCCACTACTCTCACACCTGGTGACAGCCCTGCCACTGCTCTCTCACACCTGGTGACAGCCCTGCCACTACTCTCACACTTGATGACAGTCCTGCCACTACTCTCACACCTGGTGACAGCCCTGCCACTACTCTCTCACACCTGGTGACAGCCCTGCCACTACTCTCACACTTGATGACAGTCCTGCCACTACTCTCACACCTGTTGACTGCTCAGCCCGTTTGAAGTGAGAAATAACACGCAACTTTATACTTCAATCATCTTGCCACAACTAAACATCAGTTATGTAACTCTAACAATATCCGAAATTTATTGTATTTTATATTTAAAATAAACACAAACATTCTCCAAGAACGTCTTTGTCTTGCACAGTTACTGGTGCTAACACTGCCATGAGACACATTATGATCACCTGAGAATCAGAATGTAAGGAGGAGATTCTTCATTTCAAACAAACATCGTGTACGTGAAAAATTGGTCGGAGAGAATCGTTGTTCCTTCACGTTGATCCTCTATTGTCAGAGCGGCGATTTGTCCGTCAGTCGTGGGCCGTTCTCCTTCAGTGTGAAAAGAACTAGTGAGGATTTAGTGTCGCCAGCGGGTGAAGGTTCCTTAGTAGTTGGTGGTGGCCACCCAGCCCCTGGGTATGTCCAGCAGGGCCTCCTCCTACAGCGTATCTTATCAGCTTGACTTCCTCGCGAGAGTTAACGTTCAGGGCGTCGTAGCTGCCGCGGTTCATTAAGTCTTCTTTAATGATCCTTACTGCCCGAAGCTGTCGCGCCACATCTGAAGAGCCTCCAGATGAAGACCCATTCTCTCCTCCTCCTCCTCCTCCTCCTCCTCCTCCACATCTTCGGGTATGTGAAGCTCCTCAACAATCTGGAGACGATCGGAAAGCAGCTTTATCATTAAGTCATATTCAGCAGTACAGTAATAATGTAGGCTTAATGACTTGCCTTCGAATCACCTTCATCAGGAAAAATAAGATTTTTGGTAAGCCGCCGACTTCCTGTCCCCATCGAAGCCACTAGAGAGATGATGGCCTCAGATAAATCATGCATTGCAATACTGTAATTATACTACAATCCTATTCTCTAAATATTTGAGGCAAATTTAAACTGTTGTAACTAATGTACCACAAATGTAAATTGTTCAGCTTGAGGAAGACTGGGGTCGAGCGCGTCAACTCACCACACGACCAACATTCCCTCTTAATAAACTAATCAAACTCAAGCTCTGAGAAAAGCATCTTACCTTCCAGGGCTCAGGTTGACTTTGAAGACCCTGATAGCTGGTGATGGTCCTGGAGCTGGGCGTGTTGGTGTATGCGAGTGTTGGCGTGGGCGTGCGTGTGGACGGGCGTGTTGCCTTGGGCGTGAGTGTGCGTGGGCGTGTTGCAGCGGGTGTTAGAGCTTGTGGGAGGAGGGTGGAGGTGGTGTGCATGGAAGTAGAGAGTCGAGGCAGAGAACGGGAAGCAATGGCAGCCATCTTGTAATTCTAGAAGAGAAGGAACACAGTTGTCATAATTCATTTTGTCTGGGAACAGGCAGCCTGTGTATGTATGTATATACGTTAGGCTTACATCGAGGTCCTTACCCCCCCCCCCTCCCAAGATGGAACCACTAATCCTCCACAGGATGAAACTCAGCAACAGTTGACTAACTTCCGGGTGCTTACCTGGAGAGGATCAGTAGTTCGACCATGGGGTAGAGGGGGGGGACTACGTTCAATCCCCGACTGCCCAAGTGGTTGGGCACCATTCCTTTCCCTCGTCTCTTCCCAAATCCTTATCCCGATCCCTTCCAAGTGCTATATAGTCATAATGGCTTTGCGCTTTCTCCTGATAATTCCCTTCCCTTACCTGAATTTACCTAAGGACCACTAACACTCTAGTGGCCTCGACAAGTACAAGATGTCGGGAAATCCGACACTATTTAATAATATCATACAGGCAGATAATATTGCTGCCATTGTATAAACAAGTTAACCCATAGAAAATGTAACTTGTAGTGGAATTATCCGTCCATAGAAAACGGGATATCATTACCACATACTATTATAAATTCACCAGCTATTCTTCTGGGAATTATTCTTAAATACATTAGTCTTTGGACTTTACCATCATAAAAACATCTCATATAAATTAATTTAATTATCAGTATCAAAATAGAGTAAATGTGACCCTTCTATCACTTATTGTCATCTGGACAATATAGGCCAGTAGCGTCAGTGAGGAGGGAGTGGTCAGCCATTGTTATTGTTGTTAAGACCACAGAGTCGTGGAGCAAATTCGGCTCCTATAAATTCTCTTGGACGAAGTGTTATGGAAGATCAGAGTAGTGATCTACCATCATCAACACGCTGTCATCAATCTCAAGGGAAGTGTCTTTCCGAAACTCGTTTATCTTTCATTTATGGCCATTAATGTCAGAAGATATTGGGTGAGCCGGTTAGATCACAAATGATCGACTCAAACAAGGTAATTAAGCCTAGGTCTTTATGGTTCCTTGTACAGTGTTTTCTCTGATATAGCTGTCATATATTAGGATTCTGGTTTTACAGCTAGCGCCCTTTTGACAGGTCAAGACGAGGAAGCATGCTTTGTGCATCAGTTACCAGGGTGATGGAAGCTACCTCACACGAGGGAAAATGTGGTGTCTACATCCTGGTTATACCTGGTGGACTAAGGCCTGCTGTACAATAAGATAAGGAACCTCTTCAATGTTTAACAATATATGTAGTTTAATACTGTAGTTTGATTGGCTGCATATATATAAATTCAATATAAACCCCCCCTAATGTGTAGAGGATCGATTTGTGAGATTATTGCAGAAATACAGGCCACTTAACATCATGCAAATTGCTATCGAAATATATAGATTAACGTAAATATAAATTCTATATAAATTCATATAAATTAAATAAATATAAATCTCACAGGTCGGTTCCCACACAAGAAGCCGGCGCCTTGTCCCGATGATTTTTTTCTAGCTGGGTTTTAAAATTCAACAGAGTATTGGCATATATGACTTCATTGGGTAGGCGGGTTTATATTCCTATGGATGAAAAAGCGTCTCTCTGTGTCCTACATTGTGGCTTGTTAAGCTTTAAATCGTCGATCTTTGTATAACTCATCATAATGACACAGACATTGCAGCCAAATTAGCGTGTAACAAAGATAAAGTTGAATTAGACCTAGGTATCCCCATCTCTGATGTCAAGACTATATTGTTCCAAACACTCAGGCCTGATAGCAGAGAAATTACTGACTCCCAACGACCTGAAAGTATCAGTATAAAAAACTATGATTTGATCAGATATGAAACCTATGTTAATGGGCAGCACAAAACGTCCACCAGACTGTGCGACACAGTGGTTACAAGGATCAGGTTGGGTTACCGTTACCTGTGGCAGGTGGCTACAGGTGACGGATCTCCTAATCCTGAGCACTCCAGGTGCAAACTCTGTGAGAAGGAACTGCAGCATGATCTCCCACACTACATCACCGAATGCCCAGTTATTAGACCTTTCAGACCAGTTGGCATGAGATACCTGGAGCTTTGCAATTACTTTATTCATTTTCGTGTCCTTGAGGATATCCTCATAATGCACCCAAAATTTGCCAGTGCAAGCTACTGAACATATGGCCCTGTATGACTAACCATCCTGCGAGATGGGGACTTTTAGTATCACTGCTGCCTTATTCACTCTTGTGGTGATGATATCCTCAAAATGCACCCAGGGTCTGCCAGTGCAGACTGCCTATCACAAGCCTTTGTATGACTAACCATTCTGTGTGATGGGGATTTTTAGCACCACGTAGCTAGTTTTTTGACACAATGTACTCCCTTTCATATAGTCTAAGGCAGCTGCACAAATGCAGATGTATCTAAATGTGCTAATGAAAAAATGCGTTACATTTCAACTTTTGTAGAAGTTATCTGGATCAACATCTTCGAAATTGTCCAGTATTTTAAGTTTCAATGAGATCAGCCCAGTCATGTCTGGTTTGTAGTGTTGTTAGTCCTGTGGCCCTCAACCGTTCCTGGTATGAGAGTTCACTTATTCTGGGATTATTTATGCTCCTCGGTGTTGAAGCTTTGCTGGTGGGTGAACAGAGGCATTAGGTGTAATTAAACGTGCCCGTCCATTTCTGTTCCGCCTGGAATTTGGAATTCGAATCCGGAATTCAGTATTGTGAGTCGAGAACGAACTCAACTGTACTTCGAGACCTTTTCATGTCTAATACGGTAATGAAGGAGGGACCAGATCACGGTGGAGGGACCAGGTCATGTAGGAGGGACCAGATCACGGTGGAGGGACCAGATCACGGTGGAGGGACCAGATCACGGTGGAGGGACCAGGTCATGTAGGAGGGACCAGATCACGGTGGAGGGACCAGGTCATGTAGGAGGGACCAGATCACGGTGGAGGGAGAAGCTAGGTAAGAACAGGGTAAATGGGACGACCTTCCACAAACCGCCGGCTTCCTGTTCTCGTCGAGACCACTAGAATTTTAGTGGCCCTCAGGTAAATTCAAGTGACCAGATCATAGAAAAGCGACAAGATAAAGAGTGACCAGGTCATGTAGGAGGGACCAGGTCATGTAGCAGGGACCAGGTCATGTAGCAGGGACCAGGTCATGTAGCAGGGGACCAGGTCATGTAGCAGGGGACCTGGTCATGTAGCAGGGGACCTGGTCATGTAGCAGGGACCAGGTCATGTAGGAGGGACCAGGTCATGTAGGAGGGACCAGGTCATGTAGGAGGGACCAGGTCATGTAGGAGGGACCAGGTCATGTAGCAGGGACCAGGTCATGTAGGAGGGACCAGGTCATGTAGGGGGGACCAGGTCATGTAGCAGGGACCAGGTCATGTAGGGGGAAAGAGGTCATGCAGCAGGGACCAGGTCATGTAGGGGGGACCGGGTCATGTAGGAGGGACCAGGTCATGTTTCAGGGACCAGGTCATGTAGCAGGGACCAGGTCATGTAGGAGGGACCAGGTCATGTAGCAGGGACCAGGTCATGTAGCAGGGGACCAGGTCATGTAGCAGGGGACCAGGTCATGTAGCAGGGACCAGGTCATGTAGGAGGGACCAGGTCATGTAGCAGGGACCAGGTCATGTAGCAGGGACCAGGTCATGTAGCAGGGACCAGGTCATGTAGGAGAGACCAGGTCATGTAGGAGGGACCAGGTCATGTAGGAGAGACCAGGTCATGTAGCAGGGACCAGGTCATGTAGGAGGGACTAGGTCATGTAGGAGGGACCAGGTCATGTAGGAGGGACTAGGTCATGTAGGAGGGACTAGGTCATGTAGGAGGGACTAGGTCATGTAGCAGGGACCAGGTCATGTAGGAGGGACCAGGTCATGTAGGAGGGACCAGGTCATGTAGCAGGGACCAGGTCATGTAGGAGGGACCAGGTCATGTAGGGGGGACCAGGTCATGTAGCAGGGACCAGGTCATGTAGGGGGAACCAGGTCATGTAGCAGGGACCAGGTCATGTAGGGGGGACCAGGTCATGTAGGAGGGACCAGATCATGTAGCAGGGACCAGGTCATGTAGCAGGGACCAGGTCATGTAGGAGGGACCAGGTCATGTAGCAGGGACCAGGTCATGTAGCAGGGGACCAGGTCATGTAGCAGGGGACCAGGTCATGTAGCAGGGACCAGGTCATGTAGGAGGGACCAGGTCATGTAGCAGGGACCAGGTCATGTAGCAGGGACCAGGTCATGTAGGAGAGACCAGGTCATGTAGGAGGGACCAGGTCATGTAGGAGAGACCAGGTCATGTAGGAGGGACCAGGTCATGTAGGAGGGACCAGGTCATGTAGGAGGGACCAGGTCATGTAGGAGGGACCAGGTCATGTAGGAGGGACTAGGTCATGTAGGAGGGACTAGGTCATGTAGGAGGGACCAGGTCATGTAGCAGGGACCAGGTCATGTAGCAGGGACCAGGTCATGTAGGAGAGACCAGGTCATGTAGGAGGGACCAGGTCATGTAGGAGGGACCAGGTCATGTAGGAGGGACCAGGTCATGTAGGAGGGACCAGGTCATGTAGGAGGGACCAGGTCATGTAGGAGGGACCAGGTCATGTAGGAGGGACCAGGTCATGTAGGAGGGACCAGGTCATGTAGCAGGGACCAGGTCATGTAGCAGGGACCAGGTCATGTAGGAGGGACCAGGTCATGTAGGAGGGACCAGGTCATGTAGGAGGGACCAGGTCATGTAGCAGGGACCAGGTCATGTAGGAGGGACCAGGTCATGTAGGAGGGACCAGGTCATGTAGGAGGGACCAGGTCATGTAGGAGGGACCAGGTCATGTAGGAGGGACCAGGTCATGTAGCAGGTACCAGGTCATGGGCACAATCACTACATTTACGCAATGTTTGGACCATTTTCAATTATAAATATTATTTTCTACTTTTAAATATTATATATTTATTATATAATGAATTATAACTATAATTATAAATTCGGGCCTGACGGCTTAGTAGACAGCGCTCGGCGTTCGTAGTCCTAAGGGTCCGGGTTCGATCCTCTGTGGAGGCGGAAACAAATGGGCATTGTCTTTCACCCTGATGAGCCTGTTCATCTAGCTATAAATAGATACCTGGCTGTTAGACAGCTGCTACGGGCTGCTTCCTGGGAAGGTGTGTATGAAAATTAGGATTAAGGACATGCCCGAAACGCTATGCGTACTAATAGCTGTACAAGAAAGTAACTCTTGCATATATAAATACAAAAAATACTAAAAAAAAAGTTAAAGGTCAGTTTCGGTCCCGAAACGCTGCCCGAAACGCTACGCGTACTAATGGCTTTACAAGAATGTAAAACTCTTGTCAAATACTAATGTCTGCCAATATTTTCAAATTTTTACGTTTTCTTTAACACTTACCGTTATAGAAAATGAAAACTTGAGAGGAGGGTCCGTTGTAAATCGACAATGAGAGTGTCGCTGATGTGTAATTCCTCCCCACCCGGCGTCTTTTATATAGCGGTTTCACTATCTTGCTCGTGATAACGCAGTCATAGCAACCAATGACACTTTAATCAACCTGGGATATCCATTCCTAAGTAGGTGTTGGCTTTTGCTGCAATAGAGCTTGATTAAGGCAGATGCAGCGGCCAAATCTAATGATAAATATATTAATAATGTTTTAATTTTGAGTGCCGTGAAACTGTCATTAGATACATGTTACGTTTAACTGTTTCTGTAAATTTCATTTGCTATTTATTGAGTTTAATAACTAAGAATATAGAAGAACTGATAACTGCTTAATTACTTACAAGGAAAACCCCACAGCAACGGAGTGTCTGACAAGTGCATGAGAGTCGGAGCTTACATAACTGCTGCTTCTGCTCTTTGCTGGTATTTTATGTTGCTGCTGATGCTGCTGATGCTGCTGCTGCTGTTTCTGCATTTGTTTTCTACTGCTTCTGTTGCTACTTTCTGATACTGGTAGTGGTATTTGCCGGGGAAAATCATCTGTTGTTGCTGTTCCTTTATCTCTGCTGCTGAATCTTCAGTCGTTCCTGTTCTTTATCTCTGCTGTTGAACCTTCTGTTGTTGCTGTTGAATCTTCTGTTGTTGCTGTTTTTATATATCTCTTAGTTTAGTCATTATACACTCTATACCGATCTCGAGGGCAGTGATGGAAAGGGTTACAGAAGCATATATATGGGTTCAGGAACTGGGCCCCCAAAGTTCATTTAGTTAAGCAAGTAATAATATTGTAAAGGTATTTAGTGTAGTTAATTTATTATGCACCCCATACCCATCTTGTGGGCGGTGGTTGTCGGGGAAAAAACTGACATTCTTCAATAATCTTAGATATAATTGTATGCAGATAATTGATTTGAAGATAATTGAGCTGCTGTACTTGTGCTTATCCATTGACCAACACTAACACAAATTATATTGTTAACTGGTTCAAAGAAAACGAGATTACAGTGGAGCTTTCCCATAAACATTGAATATTATTGTTACGTCACCAGAGAATATATTAATAAAATATAAACAATTAAATTTCCCAGTCCAGCATTATAAATAATAAAAAACTGTTCTCTGTGGCTGGATCAAATAAAGTTACAAGTAAAACCAACGCCTCTCTACCTTCGTCTGTAAATGGGTAAAAAATTTAACCGGTTCTGGTGGCGTCACCCGGTCGGGAAGGAGGCGGCAGCCATTGTGGAGACAGCATTGCTGTCGTGAGGAAGCAAAAGGAGGCAGTCACGTTTATACTCGATACCCGAGCCATCTCTACGTACTGCTACGTAGTCTCTGAAGTCGCTGCTGCGACTTCAAATATCGAGAGTATCTCGTATCCGGTTTGTCTCACAAAATAATATAATTTATTACTAGGCCTTGTAACATTTAAAATGACAAGCCGGTTAAGATTCGAGTGACCACCCAAGACCGGGTGAGCCTCTCACAATCACTTATTAAATAATCATTAACATGCCATATCTGTGAATAGGAGAATATTTGCAATAGTTACATTGTATTCTTCCGGCAGATCTTCTGTGGTAAACTGGGATCAAGCGACATCAACGTGATGCAACGCGCGGGAAAGTATGGTCGCAGGAGCCACGAGGCCCAGACCTGGTGACTGCCCGTGTGTTGTTCCACTGGTGTATCCATGTTGAAGTCTTCTAATCCGATAAGATTATCAGTTTCAAACTAATCCAAGTAGATTAATCAAGTAGATTAGTTTTAACACAAAATATATTCTGTATACCATAAGCGAATGAGCTCACGGTTAATTAGAAAATAAATTTCATGCATCTAGTGCGTGTATGTTTTGTCATACAGTGTTTGATGTTTACGGCAGAGATTTTTGTCATTTTACATATATAGAGACCAAACCTGATGACGGTCCAGGACGGACCGAAACGTCGTCGTTTCTTCATGTTCTCGTGTGTCGTTTGGTCATCACGACACATTTTGTTCGTCACATAGTACATACATTTTTGTTCAATAATGTATTTTTGTTATATAGAACCTATTTTAATCATATAGTGCATTTATTTTTATCATATAGCGAGCATGTTTTTGTCATATAGCACAAAGTTGTTTGTCGTACATACTCAAGGCTACCAGGATGAATATCGGTGAGTGTGATAATTGCATCAGTGGTAGTTATGCAGTAGCGATTGTAGAAGAAGCTTTTATACAACTTCTGATAAGGTTTAGTTCAAGGAGAACAGTTTAAAAACAGAAACACTCAGTCACTTATCATATCAAGACACAAATGCAGAAACAATTATAACCACCTCATCAGTGTCGCTGTGACGTGACTTTCGTCAAGTATTGGGTTAGGAGACGGGACCTAATGGTGTTCTGGAGAGCCTATCCGGAGTAGTCAATCAATTAGGACACCTAATGGACTCCTACGGGACTTCTAATGGACACCTGAAGGAGGCTATCCGGAGACTGTCGTTGGGGTTCAGCACCTGGAAAAGTCCACCAAACCTCGATGGGTGTCAAGTGTGTCGCATCTTCTCGTTCTCCTCGTGCCAGTGCCACGAGGAGCCCGGGTGGTGACACTCACGGCACCACAAGTGTCCCTCACCTGGCTCCCGTTCTCTAGCTCCAGCACTTCCCGCAAAATAAACTACTGCAGCATTAAGCTTAAAACTAGAGAACAGTAGACATTTAAGACTCTCACTTCTCCTAAAATAAAATTCGGAATTGTTTAACAAATTAGGGTTAGGCCTATACCTGATATAATTATATATTTTTAAAGTTATATAAATATAATGCCATAATCATGGACTTTGAGGTATGACTTACTCTAGAGAGTTCAGCTAGGCCTTGAAGCCCCTGGAAGATGGTTCTAGAGATGGGCTGCAGACGTGAGGGTGTACTCACCTAGTTGTGCTCTGGCTCTTTGGCTCCGCCTCTCAACCGTCAATCAACTGGTGTACAGATTCCTGAGCCTATTGGGCTCTATCATATCTACATTTGAAACTGTGTATGGAGTCAGCCTCCACCACATCGCTTCCTAGTGCATACCATTTACTAACTACTCTGACTCTGAAAAAATTCTTTCTGATGTCTCTGTGGCTCATTTGGGTACTCAGCTTCCACCTGTGTCCCCTTGTTCGTGTCCCATCTGTGTCTTTGTCCACCCTGTCAATTCCCCTGAGAATTTTGTAGGTGGTTATCATGTCTCCCCTTACTCTTCTGTTTTCCAGGGACGTGAGGTTCAGCTCCTTCAGACTTTCCTCGTAGCTCATACCTCTCAGTTCCGGGACAAGTCTGGTGGCATACCGCTGAATCTTCTCTAACTTTGACTTGTGTTTAACTACATATGAACTCCAGGCAGGAGCTGCATATTCCAGGATTGGTCTGACATAAGTGGTATACAGGGTCCTGAACGATTCCTTTCACAAGTTTCTAAAGGCAATTCTTATGTTGGCTAACCTAGCATATGCCACTGATGATATCCTTTTGATGTGGGCTTCTGGGGACAGGTTCGGTGTGATATCAACCCCCAGATCTTTCTTTCTATTTGACTCTTGCAGGATTTCACCTCCCAGATGGTACCTTGTGTTCAGCCTTCTGCTCCCTTCGCCTAATTTAATTACTTTACACTTTCCTGAGTTGAACTTTAGCAGCCATTTTCTAGACCATTCCTCCAGTTTGTCCAGTTCATCCTGTACTCTCTGTCTATTTTCATCTGTCTTGATTCTTCTCATAATTTTTGCATCATCAGCACACATTGAGAGGAATGAGTCTATACCCTCCGGAAGATCATTTACGTATATTAGAAACAGAATGGGTCCAAGTACAGAGCCTTGTCGGACTCCGCTGGTGACATCTCGCCCCTCTGATGCCTCCCCCCCCCCCCTCACAGTTACTCGCTGTTTCCTGTTACTTAGATACTCCCTTATCCACTGGAGCACCTTACCTTTTACTCCTGCCTGTTGCTCCAACTTTTGTAACAGCCTTTTATGGGGTACTGTGTCAAAGGCTTTCTGACAGTCCAAGAAAATGCAGTCTGCCTACCCTTTTCTTTCTTGCCTAATTTTTGTTGCTTGGTCGTAGAATTCTATTAAACCTGTGAGGCACGATTTACCAGCTCTGAACCCATGTTGGTAGTGTGTCACAAAACTATTTCAGCCTCACTTCAATGTGAGAGTTTTTTTATATTATTTTCTACCACAGACGTGGCCACACAGTTACAATGCTAACCAGCATATATACACTTTCTTCTGTCCTCCATTGACAGGGTTAGAGATGTGTTAAACATATAGTTCAGGGGTTTATTGAACAATCAACCACAGAAGGTGATTCGGTGCTTGTAAATGCTAAGCTAACCTACATACGTAAATACATAGATACACAGAGTTACGAATGCTCTACATAAAGTGTTCGATGTGTCTTTTTACATAGTGTGAGAATGTGCTGGTGGAGGTGGTGCACAGGAAAGTAAGAAGACGAGGCAGAGAACGGAATCCCACATCAACCATCTTGATGTTGGTTCACAAATATTTACAAATTTATATTAAATTCATTCGAAGATTATTTGTATATTCACATTAAATTAAAGCATAAACTAGACAACATAACAAAGTCTCCCATACAATAATTCACAGTTTTTTGTTAAAATCTTCCAGTGAGAAAATAGAGATGATGTAGGGTAAACTATAATTTGTTGGTGCTGACGGCGGCAGTAGTGCTCTGGTGGATACGCACTGCCTTCCGTCTTTTTACGTCGGAGTTCCTATCAGCGAGTGATAAGAGCAGTGTGGAAACATCACCCAGTAACGTACGCCCGCCACCAACCCGCGCAAGATAACACCTATCTTCGGGGTTGTAGAGTTCGATAATACCCCTGAGGAGACTTGATTGAGTTTTCACTGGTTCGTTATCATGATATTCCTGTTGTCAGCATTTTTACCTGAGCTGTTGGTAGCTGCTTGAACAACCTGGTGATAATGACGGTGATGATGATGGTGTGGGAA